AGTGGGTGGGGAGGGGATCAATCAATAAGGTTCTTGTAACACAGGCATGAGGACCTGAACTCAGTTCTCCAGAGCACAAGGAAAAGTGCAGCAGCATACACTGTAATTCCAGAGCTGTAGAGCAAAGGCAGGATAGAATCCCACATGGGTGAGTTCCAGGATCAGTGATAAATCCCACTTAAAAACTAAGGTGGAAGCCAGGTGGTGGTGGTGCACAGCTTTAATCCCAGCACTCGGGAGGCAAAAGCAGGTAGATCTCTGTGGTTCAAGCTAGTCTGGTCTATACAGATCGAGTTCCAGGACAGCCAGGGCTACACAGAGAAACCCTATCTCAAAAAAATTTTTAAAATAGTAATAATAATGTTAAGGTGGAAAGGGAACAGTAATGTGGCTCAACGTGTAAGAATGCTTGCTTGCAAGACTAATGACCCTAGTGTGAGTCCCATAACATACATGGTGGAAGAATAGAACCAATTCCCTTGAGTTGGCCTTTGACCTACACATTTGCCCCTTAGCATGATCACACACACACACATGCACATGTGTGCACCCACCCCTCCCTCTCTCTCTTTTCCAAGAATTCTCTTAAAAGATGGAGAGCACAGTCCAGTGCTCCAGTGTGGGTCTCTGTCTCTATCTCCATCCATCGTCAGATGAAGGACAATGGATGGAGATAGAGACAGAGACCCACACTGGAGCACTGGACTGAGCCCCCAAGGTCCAAATGAGGAACAGAAGGAGGGAGAACATGAGCAAGGAAGTCAGGACCGCGAAGGGAGCGTTCACCCACTGATACAAGGGGACTGATCTAAGGAGAGCTCACCAAGGCCTGCTGGACTGAGACTGAAGGAGTATGAGATCAAACCGGATTCTATGAATGTGGCTGACATGGGGGCTGACTGAGAAACTATTGATAATGGCACTGGGACTTGTTTCGTCTGCATGTACTGGATTTTTGGGATCCTAGTCTGTTTGGATGCTCACCTCCCTGGACCTGGAGGGAGGCGGGGAGGAACTTGAACTTCCCTCAGGGCAGGAAACTCTGACTGCTCTTAGGACTGGAGAGGGAGGAGGAGAGGGAGTGGGGGGAGTGGGAGGATATTGGGAGAAGGGGAGGAAGTGGAAATTTTTATAAATAAATAAGTTAATTAATTAAAAAAAGATGGAGAGCAATTGAGGAGATATCTAAAGTCAACCTCTGGCATCCACACGCATGACTACCCCCTCACCCCCACACACAAGTAAGTTCATTAAGATTGAGTTAACTAAAATGTAATTATTAAGGCTTTTGTTTAGGCATGGTTTTTTATAAAAACAAGGCAAAGGAAATCACTTCTAAAGTTCTGACCTCTGTATAGCATATAAAAATAAGCAAATTACATTCTTAAAAATTTGTTAAATTAAAGTATACTTTTGCAGTCAATAATTTAGTATTACATCTTACATAAAAATTATCTAAGTATCTGACAATTATTTACTAGTTAACTGTCAGTTAAAGATTTTAGCTTATTTAATAAACCTTGAAAAATTACTTTCAAAATGACATAATTCACTCACTTTCTTCAACTCACCATTGCGCATGCCTGCATCCCTCTTGTTCTGCAGGGTTTAGTCACCACCCTTTCTATAATGGCCTTTCCTAATTCTCTAGCCCACCTTCCTAGTATTCTCTCACACAGTGCCTGATTGTTCCTTTGTATCATGTACCACAAATGGCATTTATTTTGTTAATCTACTTTTGAAGGATTGTTTTCATCTAATAAAAATACATAGTATAGTTACTTGTTTCAAGGCCATATCTGGCCATTATGTCCTCAGTACACAGAATTCTTGATACTTAATAAGCATTTGGAAACATGTGCTGAAACTGAGTATCGTAGCAGCTGCCTGTAATTCCACCACTGGGAGGGAGGCTGAGGCAGGATCTTAGAATTCAAAGCCAAGCTGGACTGCATAAATAGATAACAGGACCTTGTCTCAAAAAGGAAAAAAAAAAATCACAAATCCCCAAGGATTGTTGGAGCAGGAGGTGTTGGCACAAAAGACCAAGAAGCCAAGTATAAAAAAGTAACCAAGAAGCTAATGAAGCAAACAAATTTTTCATAATTCTTTAAAAGCTAAGGTTTATTTGGGCATGGTGGTACACACCTTTAACCTAGCACTTGGGAAGCAGAGGCAGGTGAATCTCTTAGTTCCAGGTGTACCTGGTCTGTATAGCAAGTTCCATAACAGCCGGGGCTACATGGTGAGACTGTCTCGAAAAAGAAAGGAAGGAAGGAAGGAAGGAAGGAAGGAAGGAGGGAGGGAGGGAGGGAGGGAGGGAGGGAGGGAGGGAGAGAGAGAGAGAGAGAGAGAGAGAGAGAGAGAGAGAGAGAAAGAAAGAAAGAAAGAAAGAAAGAAAGAAAGAAAGAAAGAAAGAAAGAAAGAAAGAAAGAAAAGCCTTCAAAATTTTCCCTGGAGGAGAGTACCTGAAAACTATCTCAGACTTTAGTTTTAAACCTTGAAAAAGGGCAATGCTCTAAAACCACAGACAAAACATTGGCCTTTAGAGAAATTGAAACCCAGTATAAAATTATTTCAGTCCCTGGATAAGGAGGATAATCTGAATTTACCTCAACTGATTGCTAAAAGAAAACAAATCTTTTCTGGAGGATATATCATTATCCAGAGCTTTCTAGCAAAATGACTTAAAATTGAGAGAAGAAAATTTTATAAAAGAGCTGTAGAAGTGTTACTGATATTTAATATTGTCTCACATGAATCTTTAAAAGCTGTTACATAGTGAAGAAAAAACAATAATGAGAACTTCAGAAATAGAAGTGCATAAAAGTTTAGGAAAACAATAGAAAATATGGAAGAGGGTGATATCAGTATGGTAAAGAATCTTAACATTGATAAATAAAGTTCAGGAAGAGATAGTGAGCATAAACTATACTTTAGAGATATTGGCAGAGGTGTGTGTATGTGTGTGTGTGTACATGCTTGCACTCCATCTTGTTTGTTTGTTTGTTTGTTTGTTTTTAGGTAAGATTTTTCACTAAACCTGGAGCTTACCAGTTTAATTAGGTTGACTGGCCAACAAGCTCCAAGGATCTACCTGCCTCCCCAGAGCTAGAATTAGAAGCATGTACCACTAAGCCTGGCTGTCTAGGTGGGTGCTGGGAATACTAAGACAGTCTCTCAAACTTGCATAGCAACCAGTTCACTGCCTGAACCATCCCCCAGCCCTAACAAAGATTTTTCAACACTTGTTTTTAAAAAGGAAGAAAGAAAAAGAAAAGCCAGCCAGAGATTTTCAGGAGCTCTACTAATCAAAAGTAGGATAACCACAAAGAAACCACACTTGGGTATCCTGGCAAAACTACGGAAAACCAGTAACAAGGAGCAATATCATCAGAGCGCTTTGCCTCAAAAGTGAAAATTAAATTAACAGATTATTTAGACATACATGATAGAACCCAGAACACAATCAAATAGCATAGCATTTCCAAAATTCAAAAAAAATGTACTGTCAATGGAGAACTTAAATCCAGAAAAATATCCCTTTGAAATTAGGTAAGGGTGAGAGATGTGTAATCAGTCAGGGCTTACCATGTAGGTGTAAAGACTGACTGAGGAGACAAAGGACTGTAAAGAGTGCTAGAAGATACAGGACTCTTTGATGTGACATTTATCAATAAAACTCAAGACTTTGTCCTAAAAATCGAGAATATGCTGAAGTACTAGAAAGTGAGTTGGAGCTGGGTGGTGGTGGTGCACACCTTTGATCCTAGCCCTCAGGAGGCAGAAGCAGGTGGACCTCTGTGAGCTTGAGACTAGCCCGGTCTACAGAGCAAGTTTTAGTACAGCCAGTGCCACTCAGAAACCCTGTCTGGAGACGCCCTGCCCTAAAAAAGAATGGAAGGAAAACAAGAAGAGAGTGAGTTGGTCTGACACATCTCAAAGGATCTCACTCCTGCAATGAGTGCAGGCCATCGATGGAGTGTGGTCGGCCTTCCAGGAGCTGACACAGCTTCCCCAGAAAACCCATCAGTTGCCTATAGTTTCTCAGTTAGCAGTGGACTCTTGAATCCACCCCCACTTGAGCCTTAGGAAGGTCCACCTGTTGCTGAGCACTCCACTGACACCACACCTCCCCCCCCCCGCACTTTGACCAGCTGTGAGATCCTGCGTTAACCACTGTTACTGCACAAAGAAACTTCTCTAACGAGGCCTGATGGTTACACTAATCTATGTGTAATATGAAGTTAGAGAACAGTTTAATACTATGTTCATTTGGCAGAATGATTATAGTAGGTTCATCCTGGGGCCTATAAGCTCCCCAACCATGGTTGTTAGCCAGATTTATCATACCAGGAATGTGTTTCCTCCAGTTAGACATGGTTTAGATCTAATCAGAAAACAGTTGGTTACCCCTAACATTTGTACCACTATTGTGACCATGAGCACATCTCGCCACACCAAATACAACTTCCTAAGACTTCTTTATTAATGGTCTCTCTTGGTCATAAAGTTTTATCTCAGAGACAAAAAACCATCAAGTAAAAACATTACTATGGTTATTCTAGTTATCATCTTGTTTCCTCTACTAGATTATAATTTTCTTTGTGTTTTTAAGACAGTGTTACTAGCTAGCCCCAGGCTGGCCTTGAACATGTGATTCTCCCACCTCTTCCTCTCAAGTACTGGAATTACAGGTATTATGCACCACCTCTGGCTCTACAGTGTACCTTCTAGGGAGGCAGGGAAAATATCTCTTTTATTTGAGTTATATTTCCTTGAGCCTCAACTGATACTCTACATAAACAAAGCACCCCAAAAATAATTATTAGATGAGTAAATGAGTGGGTGAGGAATGATTAGTTGAGTTAAGCAAAGCAACTTCATAAAAATAGCAAAGATGTTCTTCTCTATCATAAATCAATTTTATTTCCATTACTGTGTTAAAAGTCGGATACTAAAATGTCTGAAAATAAAGTAACTGTTTTTCATGTTTGCAGGACTATCTCAAGCAGGTGCTGGACATTGATCTTCACGCGCAGATCCATTTTGGCAGAGTTTTTATGAAGCCAGGGTATGAAAATAATTTTATATAATATATTAGATTATTTGGATTGCTTTAACTAATTAAGTTTTAAATGCTTTGTTTTTATAATTTTATTATGGGTTATTCATTTTAATAAAGAAAATATTTTAGTACTAGAATCCTTTTCATATGTTCAGTTCCAGTGTGAAATAAGATTTCATTTTATGAATCAGTGAGCTTGGTATAAGCAAAGCAAAGCAATTTTCTAACTTTGTTTCCTTTTTAATTGCCATGTCTAGTACCTTTCCCTCTTTTTCTCCCTACAGCTTCATTCTTTTTAAAAATAGTTTAGCATGAAATTTCTAAAATATACAGGGAAGTAGAAAAACAATGAACCCAAACACATGCCCATGACTGAAGTCAGTACTACCGGCCTGCAGTTATATCTGCTTTATCAATTCCCCAGCCTCTTTTGGGGAGATGAAGCTAGATTGTTTTAAAGCTAATTCTAGACAGCATGTCATTTTCTTAAATCAGAATAACAAGAACACTGACCTATATAAATACAATAATATTGTCTTATCTAAAAATATAAATAATTTTTCATATAACTTAATATCATAATCAGTATCAAAGTCTCCTAAATGTCAAGAGAAAGAATGCTTTTTAATAGTTGTTCTAATTCAGGATCCAATCAAATCCACACATTTTGCGCTTAGTGATTAAATCTCTAACCTTTTGCTGTTAGATTTGGGATGGTGGGGTGGTAGTGATGGTTGGAGGGAGGAGGAGGTGGTAGTGGTGATGGTGGTTATCTTAGTGTGTTTTGGTTTTGTTTTTTATTTCTGCCACTGACTTGTTGGAGAAACTGGATCAATTTTCCTGTCAAGTAGGCAGAATGATTCTTCCTTCACTTGTTACTGAACATGTTTCTCTAGTCTAGGTCCAGACTCGATTGCTTCACATAAATACTTCATAATGGTTTTTAACATTGCTTCCCATCTTTTCCAAGAAGAAAATAAAATAGTCATACAGAAAGATTTTCACATTTCCTAAAAGCTAGTAACTTCCGAGAAAGACCTGCTGGGAAAAGGTCCTGCAGGCTGTAAATCCTCAAAGAATGCCCGATAGCAGTGTTAATAAAACACTTGGTCTTCAAGCAAGAAAGCTGCTCTCTTAGATCCCTTGAATCAGTACCTCTGAGTACCTGTTCATACCTCAGTGTGTGGAGGAGTGTTTTGGCACATGTTCAGGATGTCACAGAAAGCAATAATGATGCTTTAATTTAGGATTATACTCTGATAGGGACTCATGAACCATGAGAAAGAGTGACATGGAGCTTACCATTGGAGTGACATGGAACTGTGGGAAATAAAGTAGGTTTTTTAACCCAGTTCCCCAAAGTCAAGTAACATCATGTTCTAACATCCTCAAGATTTTTTTAATACTGGTTTCAGTTCTAGGACAAAGATTAGGCTTTACCTTCATAATTTAACTTCATTTAGTACAAAGCTAAGATTAACATAACCCTAAAGGGGCTAGAAGAATAGATCAGCCATTAAGGACACACTGTTCTTGCAGAAGACCTTGGGTTCCTGGCACCTACATGGCAGCTCACAACCATCTATAACTCTGGTTCCAGGAGAATCCAATAACTTCTTCTGGCCTCTGCAAACACAGGCATGCGCATGGTGCATGTCATATATGCAGACAAAACACTCATATACATAAAATAAATCTTTAAAGAAAATTAACCATATGGTGTTCTCCTCAATTTTATAGGATTCTTTGCAGTATATCTCTGTACATAGCTATTGAATGTGCCCCCAATCTATCTATTACTAGGGGAAAAAAACCCTTTTGGTTTTGAAACTATGAGATTTGAATTATTCTATTAAGAATAACATTTGGGGCCAGCAAGCTCGCTTAGTAGGTAAAAGTACTTGCCAACAAACCTGAGAACTAGAGTTCAATCACTACAACCCATGTAACAGAAGGAAAGAGAAAGAACTGCATCCTGCTGCTGTCCTCTGACTTGCACATACATGCTGGCATGCACATACACAAGCACCAAATAAGTCAATAACAGCCTAGCATATGCTAGTGCTGTATGCTGAACTTTCCCTGTCCTTTTGACCAGCAGTGGTTTGATTAGAGACAGAAGACATCCCAAAAGATTATCAGTGTGCTTCTCACTAATGTCAAACATAGATTTGATTTTTGCCTTTGTAGGGAAGGAAATTTATATAATTTGTTTTCACCTGTGGAAAATTATTTGTGCAATATCTGTAATGTTAAATACAGCTTGTGATGGTGATTTTTATACTCCCTAGTTCATTGTTTACCACTCTCAACTTTAGTAGTGCTTCAGTTCCTCCTGTTTCTTTTTCTCCCCTAAAATCCTTTCACTTTGGGACCTCATTCAGTACATAAATTTGGTTAATTCTAATTTCAGAATAATCAGTATGTGTTAGATTCCAAGAAAATGGCTTTACAGAGCTAACTTCCAGCCGCCAGACCTTTGTGATAGTAATTCCTGAGGTTAAAATGTTCTGTTGTAAATACAATCTTTTTTAAGTGAGTACCTTTGAAGAAATTATGTCTTTAGGATGTAAAGAAAATTTAAAGTGCCCTTATACTTGATATTGCCTTTAAATATAGTTGTTCATGAGCTACTTTGCTATAACAGAGTGGTTTGAAAATTTAAGTTGTCTTCCTTTAACTGGCCAGAATCCTACACATAGCTAAATGTAAGAAAAACTTAGAAATAGTTTGTTCTGCTTGCTGGTGGAACAAAAAAGAAACAGAAAATCAAATAAGTTAGCTTTGCCCTTTCCACATACAGCGCATTCCAAATACAATTATGTCTTTGGTTTTAAAGAAAAGATACTCAGGCAACTGGGGAGATGGCTCAGTCAATGAACTGCTTGCCACACAGCATGGTGACCTGAGATGAGATTCCCCAGTACCACATCAAACATTGGCAGGAAGCAGACAGGAGGATGCTAATCACTGAGCTACAGGTTAGTGAGAACCCTCAAAAAGTAGGTGAAGAGCATAGAAGAAGACTCTTACTGCCAACCTCTGACCTCCGCATGCGCGCGCGCACACACACACACACACACACACACACACACACCGGGTGGGGGAGAGAGAGAGAGATCTTAAAAATATAAAGGAAAAAATGCCAAATTCTGCCATGGGTCATCTATAGCAAGTGTAGTTGTTCTCAAAAAATGTTTATGGGATCTTACTTTTGTCAAGCAGTAATAATCATTGCTGAGTTGCCTATCTATAATCTAATCTTATTCTATTACATAGCAAAGAATCAGGGAGTAAGGAAAAAAAACAGAAGACCAAAGTCCAAGTACTAACTCTATTATAGATTATCCAATGCTGACTTTTTCCAATATGAAACTTTAAAGTTAAAATGACCTTAGTTCAAATTATTTATTTTTATAAAATCTTAGTAACTAAGTAAGATTGAGCCAATTTTTTAATATCTCCTAATTTCAGTTTTCACATCTACCAGATACTATGACAAATGTTATCTTTTGCTATTGCTGTGAGACTTAAATAAAATATTGAGTGTGATACATAAATATTATCCTTAAATAATAATAATTGATGCTGTTATTATTGATGGTACAACTCTACAAGTATGGAATAACCAAAGTGAGGAGCACAGGAACACAGCAACTTGATCCGAATCTGACATCACTGTATTATGACAGATTAATGCAGCTATAGCTCTTTCAGAATTGCTACTGCTACTATATCATAATAAAGAGTAATGAATGAAGGAGCTGGACTTTTTTTGTTGTTTTTTGTTTGTTTGGTTGGTTGGCTTTCTTTGGTTTGCTTTGTGGTTTTTTGTTTTTGGCTTTTTGAGGCAGGGTTTCTCTATGTAATGGTCTGGCTATCCTGGAACTCACTTTGTAGACCAAGCTGGCCTTGAACTCAGAGATCCACCTGCCTCTGCCTCCTAAGTGCAGGGCTTAAAGGTGTGAGCCACCACTGCCTGGCTGAATGATCTGTTTTTAAAGATCAATCCAAGAAGCCAGTTGGGTAAAGGCACTTGCTGCCAACAAAATCTCCAACAAAAATATTATAAACATCATTGAGTAGAGGGATGGGGGCAATTGAAAACATCAGAATTTGGAATATGTTCCTATGGCACTGAGAAGAAGGGGAAAAAGTGAGGAACAGAAAATTGGGAGTTTGGATACTTGAAAACAGATGGTCCTAAAGACATGACTTCAGAGTAGAAAGGGTTAAAGTCAACAGAAGAGTTTTCTATGGTAAGTGAATCACTCAACAAGAAAATTAGAGCATTGGCTTTACCTCTTCTGTTATTTAGCAATCACAAACAAGTATACTCTTTTTTTTTTCTAGCTTGCCAACAACATTTGCAACTTTGGATATTGATGGTGTAAGAAAAATTATTTTTGCACTACCAGGTAAGAATCATTAAAATTATTTTCTCCATTTTCTAGAAAAATGACCCAAAAAAAAAAGGCTTCTCGGATTGCCAGTGTCTAGTCAACATCACTTGATTTATAATCTGAACAGCCTTACTAATTGGCAAACTACTTACCTTCTCTGAGGCTAGTTCTTCACCTATAAAACAGGACTAACACCTAGTTCAACTAGAATGTTCTTCCAGGACACTGTCCTCAGTCTAAGATAATATCCAAATCTAAGTGGATATATATACATTCTAAATAGATCTCACAACTAGAAGTACTACCAAACATGAAACTTCTAGAACACCTATAGCCAGGCATGACAATACATACCTGTAATTTTAGTACTCAGTGGCTGAGGCAGGAATATCATGAAATGAAGCCAGCCTGGGCTACATAGAAAGATCTTGTCTGGATGCAAATAAACACAGCTGTGCTTCTGGTCTTGGGATGATATGGGGAGGGAGGCAGAGTTGCTGATCCTGGTACACCTCAGCCACCTTTGACATGTCATCTGTCTGACATTAGCATCGCCCCCTAACAGAAGCTTGAGTGTTTAGACTGTAGAAAACCAAGGTAGTCCAGTTTCTAAGAATTTGTTAATTCAGTTTTTATTACTTGCAGCCATGCATCTTAAGTCTTTATGAATCTTGATCAATTTTAAAGCAGTTTGGAACTTTACGTATCTACTTGTTATTTTTTAAAAAATATCCTTTAATTATACTTATAATTCCATCTCTGGTGAGGCTGAAGCAGGAGGATCACCACAGGTTCAAGGCCAGTCTTGGCTATCAATATCTAGTCTTAAAAATTAAAATCCTGTAATAATTCTGCTCAAGTCCCCATTTTATTAACACCAATTCTTCAGAAAAGTAACTACTTATCCTTTCAGACTCACAAATCTTACAGGATTTGAAGATTTATTTGCTTTTTATATTCAGTGGATCTCAGAATTATTTTTTTTAAAAAAAGAAACAGGCAGACGAATTTTAAGTCTTAACATTTTAAACCCTATCCATTCCATAAGCATAAAAATAGACTTGTGTCATTCAGAAAATACTAAGACGAAATATAAGTAAAGCAACCTTAAAAATCTGTGGCATACAACTAAACCTAAGACCTCTAATATTCCCCCAGATACTCTGAAAACTATTCTATAAAAAAAAATCAGCTCCTTTTCCTAGCTTCATTTTGTCGACTGAAAGAGACTGCTTTCTCATATGCGCGACTTAACATACGGATTAGACTATTTGATATTAGAGCAAATTTCACTATTGTGGAAACCCATTCTTGATGATATATGAATGTTCCACAGAAACTACAAAATTAAAAGCCCTCTTCAAATCACTGTTTCTATTTGAAACACCTTCCATTGCACCTGGATGAACCAAAAGAGGGCAGCAACAACTCACATGTCCAGATCCTACCTAAAGCAAAGGTATTCCTCTGACGAGGACTTTCAGTTTCAAGAGTGTTTTTTCTGCTTTCTTGAAGACCATGTACTTAAAGATTTTCACCAATCTTAGCAAGTTATGGCCAATGTAAGAGTTTCACATATTATAATTTTTAACTTTTTAAAATTACATGTTCTCTGTAAAAACATGGAAATGAGGTTGTCAGAATGGCTCAGTGCATTAAGGCACCTGCAACCAAGCCTGATAACCTGAGTTCAAAGCCCTGAACACACATGGTAGAGAGAGAGAGAACCAACTCCCACAAGTTGGCCTGTGACCTTCACGTGTGTGCTATGGCACATACACATACACGCAATAAAATAAATAAAAACAAATTAAATTAAAAATTACTTTTGAGCTGGGCAGTGGTGGCATATTTTAATCCCAGCACTCGGGAGGCAGAGACAGGTGATCTCTCTGAGTTTGAGGCCAGCCTGGTCTACAGAGCAAGTTCTAGGATGGCCAGAACTACACAGAGAAACCCTATCTTGAAAAATAGAATAAAATTAAAACCTCTTTATAAAAACTTAGAAATATATATAAGAACAAATAAATGTTATTTATTGTCATAACTACTATGCAGAAACAGTCACAATTTACTAATTAATAATCCTTCACTTACTTTTCTTCTATGAAACAATGCATTTTTAAAATTGTAGCTCGTGAGCTGGCTCAGCAGATAAAGGCATCTGTTACCAACCCTGATGACCTAATGTCAGTCAGGACATTACATGATCATGACCCACATGATCGAAGGAGATGACCAGCTCTGAAAACTTGTCTTCTGACCTCCACATACACAGCAGGACATGAATGCATATGTGTGCTCACACACACAGTAAATGAATAAATAAAAATATTATTTCTAATTATAAAATTAAAGTAGTATAGTAGTTTTATAATCATGTGGTAATGTATTTTGAGGTAAGGGAGAAGTAACGTACTTACTGAGAATCTGCTGTCAAGCTAGAGAGATGGCTCAGTGGTTAAGAGCACTTGATGCTTTTGTAAATGCCTTACTTTGATTCCCAGCACCTACACTGGGTAGCTAACAACGTATTGTAAGGATCCAATGATCTCCTCTCACCTTTGAAGGCACCTACAAACACACATAGCTTATACACACACACAACACACACACACACACACACACACAAACTTAAAAAACAAAAGAAGAAAAATTCATTGTTATATGGAGTATGGTGGTGCAAGTCCTTGTAATCCTAGCACTTGAAAAGCTGAAGCTGATAATCACAAGTTCCAAGACAAGCTTGGCTAATTGACAAGAACCTGTCGCAAGATCAGGGGGATGTCTGTTGTTCTGTTGGACACCTCATTTGTCTGTTGAAATTATTGATATCATTTATTACTATCCACAACTTTTAAAAAAGTTTACCTCAACAATCTAAACATAGTTTTAACTCTCCAATTGAAGATGTCCACTGGTTGATTACATTAAAATACAAGGTCCTAGAGCCCTGCATGTTGTTGCATACCTTTAGTTCCAGTACTCTGGAGACAGAGGCAGGAGGATATCTGTGAGTTTGAGGCCAGCCTGGTTTACAAAGCAAGTTCCAGGACAGCTAGGGCTGTTAACAGAGAAACCCTGTCTCAAAAAAACCCAAAACAAAACAAAAAACCACAAGAGACCCTAGTCTAGAGAGGAGCTCAGCAGTTCAGAGCTCTTGGTGCTCTCCCAAAGATCCTGGACTCAGTTCCTAGCACCCTTGTCAGGGGATCCAGTACCTCCTTATGACCTCCTCTGATACTTACACGCTCATAGCATACACATACAGTTAAATTTTAAAATGATAAAAGTTTTTTTTTAATATAAGATCCTACTGTTTATTGTCTGTCTGTAAGAATCATACTTTAATGGAAAAGATTCACAGAGATTGAAGATGAAAAAATAGAGATTAATATACTAAACAAATTGAAGTCAAAAGCAAGCAAGAGAACCTACACCTTATGAGACAAAGCAGACTTCAAGCCAAATCAGGCAAAGCGATAAACCAGAAGTTGATGCACACAGTTTCATAAAACAAGCATTCCTGGGCATAAAGAGATAGAGGGGTCTAGATAGAACAGTAGTGACTTAAATATCCAACTCTCTTCAGTAGATGGATCATTCAGACAAAAGTCAGCAAAGAAACTTCAAAGGCAAACTGTACCTTAGAGCTAATGGAAGTAGCAGACATATACAGAATGTCCATTCCCATGGCGGAGTACACATTCTTCTCAGCTCTCCATGGAAGACTTTCCAAAGTAGCTCACATATTAAGTCATAATGTAAGTCTTAACAAGTTTTAAAATTAAAATAATTTTTCTCCCATATCATAATAGAATAAAACTTGAAATAAATAGTAAGAGAAACTATACAGACACAAGGAAACTGGATAGTATATTCTTGATTGATTAATGGGTTATTGAAGAAATCCAGTCTTAAAAACTAGTGAAACTAAAAGACGTAACTTCTTTTTTTTTAAGATATGGTTTCTCTGTGTAACAGTTCTTGCTGTCCTGGAACTCGTTTTGTAAACCAGGCTGGCCTCAAACTCACAGATACTCTCCTTCCTCTGCCTTTCTAGTATTGGGATTAAAGGCATGTGCAACCACCATCCAGCGAAAATGTAACTTTATAGACTTTTAGAATACAATAAGGGTACCTCTGAGGAGGATATTTATAGATATAAGTGCTTTAATAAATAATAAAGTGTTCTCAAATAAAGAACTTAGTATTTCTCAAGGCCTTAGGACAAGAACAAGCCAGACCCAGAATCAAGAGTAAAAAAATACAAAGAAAGAGTCAACTTTAAAAAAAAAAAAACTGATACTTCAATAATCAAATGTAGTTTTCAAACTCTTAGCCAACTAGCCAGAAAAAAAAATTCAAAATAATAAAATTGTGAAATTGTGATTGAAAGAAGCTTCTAGTTAAGTTTGGGTGACCTCTGAGGAATGGGGAAAACTTGCATTCTAGTGACTGTCTAACTAGATACAGAAAGGGCCTCTAACAAAGACTCAGCCATGAGGAAACTAGGAAGAAGGACAATATGTCAGCATGTGGCAAATCTATAACCAACATTAAGTAAAAGGGATAAAGCTAAACGTATGTCTTTAACTCCAGAATGAGGCAAGGTGTCCATTCTTACTCGTTACAGTGCTTAGAAGTCTTAGCTAGAACAGAGGCAAGCAAGAGGAAGAAAAGTGCAGGCTGGAAAGAAGGACTCAAATTATCCTGCTTTATAGATGATATGATCCTATACTTAAAAGATCCTAAGGCTCCACCTGAAAACTCTTAGACCTGGTAAATTCAGCAAAGTAGGGTACAAAATTCTATACTTTCTTCATATTGTAATGAATGTGCTGGTAAAGAAATCAGAAGGGGAAAAAAATATTCACAATTGCTTTCAAAGATAAAAATTTAAAAAAAAAACACATAGCTAAGAATAAACCTAGCTAGGACAATGAAAGACTCCCACAGTGAAAACTTTGGGACACTGAAGAAGGAAACTGAAGACACTGGCAGATAGAAAGACACCCCATGTTGCTGAAAATGACTTGCACATTTAATGCAGCTTCCATCAGAATTCCAGTAACATTCTTCATAGAATATGGGGAGGGGATTCCTAAAATTCAAATGAAAATAAAAAACCCCAATACCCAAAACAATCCTGAGCCAAAAGAGCAATGTTGTATGGAGATATCACATTATACCTGGTTTCAAATTATAGAGTCATAGTGTATAAAACAGCCTCATCCTGGCTTTAAGAAGAGATACACGAAGCTAGGAAAATGACTTGTTAGTTTAAGCACTTGCCACATAATCAAGACCAGAGTTCAGATTCCCAAAAACCAGTAATTGCCAGGTAGATGTGGCAACTTACCTGTAATTCCAGCCTCAGAAGACAGAGAGACAAGATCACCAGAGCATGCTGGCTATTGAGACTGGACACATCAGCAAGCTCTGGTTTAATTAAGAAACCCTGTGAAAGATGACCAAAGATGATTCCTAATATCAAACTCAGCCCCCCACACACATACATACACATATAAATGTACATATATACTCCCACAAACATATAAGCATACATACACATACACATGTACTCTATATATACATACAAAAGAAAAGACAAAAAGAACTGAGATACATAAACCAAAAGTATAGCATAAAGGATGCAGGCATAAACCTGTAGAGCTACAGCCAACTGGCTCTTTTAAAGATTTATTCTATTATTATTATGTATATGCAAGTGTGTCTGTGTGGGTACAAGCTCATGAGTATAGGTGCCCACAGAAACCATAAGCATCTGATCCCCTGAAGCTGGAGTTACAGGCTATTGTGAGCTGTCTGATGTGAGTGATTGAAACCAAATTTGGGTTCTTTTGAGGAGAAGTATATGTCCTTAACCACTGAGCTATCTCTCCAGACTCAACAGTCAACTGAATTTTGAAAAAAGGTGCCAAAAAGTGATGTTGGGAGGATATAAGAGCCTCTTCAACAAATGGTTCTGGGAAATTCGATATCCACAAATAGAATGAAAGTAGGTCCCTGTACACGTCAGCACAGAACAGATTGAAACCTTAATGGAAGACCTGAAACTTTGAAACTGCTATGGAAACAGTTCAGGATAGAGGAGGCACAGGCGATGACTTTGTTACTGGGATCCAACAACACAGGAAATAGTAACAAGAACTGACATATGGGATTACATGAAATTAAAAGGAAAAGAGACACAACAAAAGAAACAGGAGAGTAGTATTGACAGGGGATTGATATCCTGAATATGTAAATTAACAAAAATGCCAAAATAATTAAATCAATAAATGTAAAAGAATTTTACAGACAATTCTCAAATTGAAAAATGTACTGCACCCCTAACCATCATGGAAATGTAAATTAAAATTAAATTGATACTCTATTTCAGATCAGTCAGAACAGCTATCATCAGAAAATAAAAAAAGAAACAAATATAAGCAAGAATGCAAGTTAGCCCAGCTACTATGAAAATCACTGTGGAGTTTTGGAGAGAGAGAGAGAAACTAGAGAACAGAAATACCATATAGCCCAGAATCTCAATCAGCATAAAAAGGAGGTCCCCTCATAACCATATTCACTATAAGAACACTATTCATAGGAGCCAAGTTATGGACGCAGTCTGAAGTCCATCAGTAGGTGAGTAGTTACAGAAAACGTAGCTTATATACAAAATGGAATGTTATTTGAACACAAAGAATGAAATTACTTTTTTAGGAAAATAATAAATTTATATATCACTATGATAAGTAAAATAAGCCTGATTCTGAGAGACAAATATTATTTTCTCAATATGTAGAATCCAGATTTTAAAAATGAAAGATTTTAAAGAAGAGATGCTGTTTTTCAAGATGAAGGGAAACACCAGCAATGGGGAGGGAGAGAACAGTGATGAGGGAAAACCAAACATAAAATGCATGCATGAAAGTATCCTCATCCATCCCACTCTTGATTAGTGTAAATATGCCGATCAAGGGTAAAAATCCCTTCTTAGCTCCTGGTACAAAAGAACTGAAGGTGCAGTTTTATCTGGTAATTGGATAGCCTGACCCTTGTCTCTTACTTTGAGGACAGAATTAGCAGCACTTAAGGAAAAGGAACAGCTGGTTCCCCACTACCAGTGCCAACCAACATCATCACATGCAACCATAGAATAGAAATGGGTTTTAGAACTAGAATGGACCTGAAGAGTCCTGTCATCTTTACTAGAGGGAAAAATGAAGTTTTGTGGGTGAGTTTAGTCAGATTCATAAGAGTTTGTAGTGTAATCCCCGCAGCTGGGAGACTGAGTTTGCCTTAAATGCTCATAGACTTAATGCCTGAATACTCATAGACTGCATCAAAATAACATTTGGGGCTTGCAAAGTTGTCTAGCTTGAGTACAAACTGAGCGTTAGTTACAAACAACAGAAATATCGTCTTTGTAGATTTTTCTTTCATAGCCCCCTTCCTTTTGAAGTGCAAGGCACATCTAGATTTACTTCTAGAGAGGAGTGATGTATCCCTGATATTTGCCACAGTCTGCTCCAGCTGCTCCACTGCCATAAGTGCACCCCAGTGTGCACAGTGTAAAGATGGGAACTTGTTTCTCAGTTCTAAGGCCACTGCCGATCTCTGATGTCTGCTCTGCAGTCAGCTGCCTTCTGAGCCCCATGGCCTTGCCTCTGACATGCATACTTCTGCCACCCCTTCTGTTTTCTACAAGGATGCCAGTTCTACGTTGGGCCAATCCTATGTCCGCTCTGAGGTTTAGTCACCATGGCCCTGTTCCTCAGATACACTGAGAACTGAGCTTCCTTGTGGGAGTTGAAGTTGCAATTCACACCATAATCTTATTCATCTTAAATCTTTTACAGCTTGAGTTGTTTGGTGCCATATTTTAAATTTAAAGATATGTCTGAATAAAAATGGTTATACATAAAGTTCCAAGTCTATATTTTCTTTTACTTGTATCATATTTCTACAGTAGAAATACTTTAAAAATAACAGAAAATATATTAAAAGATTTTTAATTTATTAAAATTGGGTAAGCATTCAGTAGGAGAGTATGTGTGCTTTACATAAAAGCAGCTCAGGGTACAATGTCTACCTCTTCACCCACAACCTTCTGTGCACACACACAAATGCTCATACACCAAGGTTAGCAATGATTTTCAGTGCAAGGCTCTCAGGAAAGCAGAAATGGTGTCTAAAAGCTGAATATCAGACCTCTTTGTATTTCATGGAAAACCAAAAGGTTCAGGTCTTACCCTCTGCAGCATGTGGTTAAGTGTCCCTCTATTCTGTCATTCCGTTTGATTCAGAGGAAGAATAAACTAATGACTGGCCACTTCTGTCACGTTCTATCACAGCTGACTATATAGACAGATATAATTACCTGACAAATTTATGTTATGTAATATAAATAACTGTTTGATTGACTTTCAGGGAATCCTGTATCAGCTGTGGTCACCTGCAACCTCTTTGTTGTACCTGCACTGAGAAAGATGCAGGGTATCTTGGATCCTCGGCCAACCATCATCAAAGCCAGGGTAATGTTTCCTAATGACCAGAAACAAAAATGGAAGCTTAGTAAAAACAATTACTAACAGCCTAAAACAGATACCTGGAATTTCATATTCATTTTTTCATAAATGTATTATTAGTCTCTCCTTTGTGATGGAATATAGGAGAAAAAATTTACTTTTATTTCCTTCCAACATAAAGAGAGATGACTCAGAAGTAAAAAATAATGGCTGCTCTATAATAACACCTAGATTCAGTTCCCAGCACCCACATGGCAGCTCACAACTGTCTGTAACTGCAGTCCTAGGGATCTGACCCCTCTTCTGGCCTTCTCCTCAGGCAGTGTACATACAGTGGCAAACAGACATATTCCGGCAAAACACCCATACACCTAAAAATAAATACAATGTCTTAAAGTTTAAAATCACTTAAAAGAATCCAGAGAGCAAGTCTACAAACATCTAGTGGGTCCTAAGAACCAATCAGCAAACAGAAAACAGCCTGCACCACACGCTAGACCTATGTAGAGTAAGAGGTAACATTGTTTCCTTCGTGAAGTTCATAGAGGACAGAAGTTAACCTGCTCCCTTGTATGTGCTTGCTCTTCAAAAACTTCAAAAAGGGCAAAGGACTAAAAGACTATGGCACTTCAGGAGAAGGCGAAAGTACTGTTCAACACAGCATTAGTCAGACAAGGGCTATAACTATAATAAGAGTCCCTTTCTCTACCCACACTACTAATTTACTACTAAATTACTACTCAACCAAGTATACATTTTCTGTATTATTAATGACTTTCTTGACATCATAGCCTATAGAACCAAGCTATTACTTTTCAAAAGTTTTAAAGTAATTTACATATGACAATTCTTTGCTTAGTTGACCAGAAGAATGTGAAACACAGAAGAGGATCTGACGAGATGAGTCAGTGGTTAAGAGCACTAACTGTTCTTCCAGAGGACATGGGTTCAATTCCCAGCAACTTATAACTGCCTGGAACTCCAATTCAGGGGATCCAACACCTTCACACAGACAAAAAACAAATGTACATGAAATAAAAAGATATTATTTTTTAAAAAATAACTAAAACACAAAAGAAGAAACAGTAATAAAATAGTATTCCAGATACACAGTATAAAAACGTCTAAGACAGCTGACAGGATGGCTCGGCAGATAAAGGCGCTGCTGCCAAGCCTGACGTCCAGAGTCCAATCCTGGGACCCACATGGTGGAAAAAATTGGCTTCTGAACGCTGTCCTTTGATACCAACATGTAGCTGTGGCATTTACATGTGCACACGGACACATATGCATAAAATTAAAATGTTTTAGAAAATCTAGGCCATCATCAACCTTAACATTTATACTTCTATTACTAGGAATCTGTGAATAAAAGAAGATAAGAGCATCGTCTTTCCCTAAAATCATTTAAAATCAATTAGCCGGGCATAGTGTCCTGTCTACCAAATCATCCCACCCCCAAGTAAAGCTTCCTTTCAGTATCACAAGGAAATACTCTTAGAATTGTTAGCAAAGTCAGAAACAGAAATGGAGGGAGAGGAAGGAAGAAAGGAGGGCAGAAAGGAAGGCGAGTGTGAATGAAGAATTATGAACAGATCAAAAAGTCAAAATTCTAATAGATTTACACAGTCAACCCAGTAATAGAGAATTTACTATCTTCACAGTTGCTGAGCTGAGGAAGCAGGAAGAATCCACATTGCTCTAAGAGACACATGGTTTATCCAATATTCAAAGCTCTCAGTAATCTTCACATTTATTTCATTTTAATATCTACCATCTGTTCCTTAAAACTTGCTGCAAAACAGCCATGTAAGCAGCTCCTGCAATTTAGCACTGGAGAACACAGAGACAGAGGAATTAAGAGAAAAACACAAAATAATTTAGGTGCAACAGACAGCTATGCTACCAGCAAGGGTTACATAAGCAACATAAAAAGTCTTTTCCTTGTATATTGAAAATTGTCCTATAAATGGATAGGTGAGGAATTCCTACCACATACTAAATCTACAATGAGTATTGCTGGATGGATGGGTGTTGAATTTGTTGGTTAGATCTACTGCTTTTCCTCTCAATATCAAGATACTGCTTCCATTCCTCATTTCCTAGATCCAGGATCATTCCAACTCATACAATAGACTTTACCTTGTTTATCTGTCCTTTCCCGTTTATGAACACTGTCTTCTTAGCATTCTTTCTTTACAATAGCAATCAACCTCTGGGCTTCCTGCGTTGAAAACAAGATGGAAACGACAGAAATGTAGGAAAACAAGGATATTATCTATCCAGGCTCACTATATTCTCTGTAGGTCTGAGAAATGATTAGGTGACCAAGTTAAATTTCTTTGCCTCTTTATGCTATAGTTGTCATGTGATGTAAAACTGGACCCTCGCCCAGAGTACCACCGGTGTATACTGACTTGGCATCACCAAGAACCACTGCCCTGGGCCCAGAGTACAGGTCAGTCATTCACACCTGCACACACACGGGTGCCTGTGCACTCATTCTGAAAAACAAACCACAAATAACAGCTATGCCAATCATGTCTTTTCCTTGGCGATAATGAAATGAATAAGTGTTCTGCACTTCTCTTTTTGAAAGGTTAGATGAAATAAGTTATTCTTATACAGTGTTTCCCTATTTCACTGAGCCATGTTTTCTAGATAAACATTTGAAATATACAAGTAGAATTACAGATTTTGATCAGTTTGGTCAAGCAGCCCTCTGAACATGACTGATAGGCAGGAAAGGAGAACACAGTGGCTGTTATCCTGAAATGTGAGGGAAAAGTCAAATTTATAATATGATATTTGTGAACCCTATTATGCCCTAGGTACTGATAAATTTTAAAGATAAAGCCATTTTGATGACTCAGAGTTCCAGCTCTGATGCATAACACTCTCAACTCTCAACTTTTGTCCCCAACTTTTCTAGTCGTATTTTGCCCAAGTTTTGATGCAGGCCCACAGAAACTGTTACCTTTAAACAAAGGCCCTGTATCAGCTGCAGACATCACCTAAGAGTGATTCACGAGCTTTTGTCATCACAGAGGTCTGCATGTAAGTTGGCCACCAACCTAATTAGCAGGACCCTAGGCAGCGTACCTGAGACCTTTTGCATCTTGTAAGAGTTAAATCCGAGAGTTCATAAAATGACCATAAAGCACCTAAATGGTAGCTGCTATCATTGCTGTCCGTAAGTTTCTAAAAGGATTTATTTTTACACAAATACAAATTCACCCTGATGTGAGAATTTCTATGGCATTTTGAGTGGCTATAAACAACTATTTTATTCAACAAAAACATCTAATATTTGCTTTTAAAGTTTTGATGAGAAGGTTAAGGATCTAGAACATACATTTCACCTGGAAAAGGTACTGGGAAGACTGACCATCTCTCTCCTTGGAGCCTTGCACTCCATTTGCTAGGCTCTCCACGTGTACTTCCTGATGTCTGTGCTGCAGTAATTAGAGGATTTCATTCCAGGTAATCAGATGAGCAGCCGTCTGATGAGCATGCGCAGCGCCAATGGATTATTGATGCTACCTCCAAAGACAGAGCAGTACGTGGAACTCCACAAGGGCGAGGTGGTGGATGTCATGGTCATTGGACGGCTATGATGGTCACCAACAGGAGAAAGCTTTGATGCATGTCCACATATCATTGACTGTATCCTGTAATATGCAACGGCACAGCTAGTTTTTCTGATCTGGATAAAAGTTGATCTGTATAGTCAACATCTTGAACTATATTTCAGATGAACTTAAATACCTTTTAAAAAAACACACCTAAGAATAAATCTTAACAGACAACTCTATTCTGATTATATCAAAGCAAAATTTTCCTTTCTTGCAAATTGCTTTGTGTGTTCAATGCTAGGTCTGATAGCGATAGCTTTTAGTAGACAGCGGTAGGTGCCTGCAGAACCTGTGTTTTTCTCATCTTTAAATACAACTACTTATGCTCTTAATCAAGGCTGTCTGCTTATTTATACTAGTGTAGGCAACACTGGGATTTCCCTTCTTAGTATGCTTCATAACTGCTTTACAGAGAGCTTCTGCTTGTTCTTTATCATGTATCTCGTGTTTATGTGCACCGTGCCAAAAGAGGAGTGACTGCGCGGAGGCCCTGCCCTGCCGCGAGCACCCAGGGACGCTCTCACCCTAGCAGCCTCTGGCACAGCACTCGCAGGCAGTAACTGGATACTTTTTATTTGAACAAACAAACTGGGGGAAAATGCTTCCTTAAGTGCTGACAGCCTTTTTAATCAACACATTTAAAATTGTACAGAACACAAATAAAATAAAATCAAAGACTGATCTTGTACAGATATTAGTGTTACCAGCATTCATGTGGAAATCAAGAGCAAAAACAAATAATGTTAAACAACTCTGTACCATAACATTTTCTGTAATGATACTGAAACTTAATGAATAAAAAAAAATCCTTGATCATTATTTAAAAATGTGTTGTGCTGGCCTTATTATTTAGAAAGAGAAGATTGTTACTCCATCCTGACAGAGCTCTACCTAAGTAAAATAGTTCTTAAGATAGCCTGCCAAGACTCATCGTATGGGAGATGTAAATTGGGGACTGATAGCATTGGGGTCTGTTAGTAAGACATCTGCCCATTTTCTGCTTTACTGGTGATGGCCAGATAAACAGCAAGCATCGCTAAAGGAAAGATACTTTATTACTTAGAAAAAAATGTTCTTTTAGCTACCAACTTTGGATATGTACAGTTCTTTGAAGAGAAGGGAAAACTAAGTTATGAATCAAAACCTTAGATGAGTGCCTGGAATTTTTTTTTTTTTCTTGAGGCAGTGTCCCATTATATAGCTCTGATTGCCCGGGGACAAGACTCAACTGCCTCTGCCACCCAAGTGACAGGATTGAGGGTATGTGCTACCACAGATGACATTAGAAATTTTTTAAATCATGTTTGAAAGAAAAATAGAAATGTAGAGGTATGGTACCCTTTGAAAGCATGTTCTAGAGTGACTCCCCCTTCCTCCAGCTTCCAACTTATTTTTGTTTGGTTTGGTTTTTTGAGACAGGGTTTCTCTGTGTGGCCCTGGCTGACCTAGAACTCGCTCTGTAGACCAGGCTGGCCTCAGACTCAGAGATCACCTGTCTCTGCCTCCTGAGTGCTGGGATTAAAGGTGTGCACCACCGCTGCCTAGCTAGGATATTTCTTTTTTCTTTTCTTTTTTTTTTTTACGTTTTCCAATTATTATTTTTTTGATGTACAAATTTTAATGCATTCTTTTCTCATTTTACATAGCTATCCCCGTTCCCACTCCCTCCTCTCCTCATTCCCTACCCTCCCCCCATCCACTCCTCAGAAAGGTTAAGGCTTCCCATGTGTAGTTAACAAAGTCTGACACATCACTTCAAGTCAGGACCAAGGCCCTCCCCCGATATCTATGCCGAGCAAGGTGTCCCTCCAAAAAGAATGTGTACCTAGATACCAGTTCAAGCACTAGGGATACATCCTGGTCCCACTTCCAGTGGCCCCACAGACTGCCCAAGCCTCACATCTGTCTCCCACACTCAGTGGGCCTACTTTGGTCCCATGCAGGTTTCCCCACTATCGGTCCAGAATCAGTGAGCTCACACTAGCTCAGTCAGATGTCTCTGTGGGTATCCCCATCATGGTCTTGACCCCTTTACTCATGTTGTCACCCTTCCCTCTTTTGGCCCAGTGCTTTGCTGTGGATCTCTGTATCTGCTTCCGTCAATTGCTGGATGGAGGTTCTATGATGACAATGAAGGCAATCATTAATCTAATTACAGGGGAGACCAGTTTAGATCTTCTCCACTGTTGCTTAGAGTCTTAGCTGGGGTCATCCTTGTGGATTCCTGGGAATTTCCCTAGTGCCATGTTTCTTGCTAGCCCCTTAATGGTTCCCTCTATCAAGATATCTCTTTCCTTTCTCTCCTTCCCTGTCCTTCCCTCTTCTTGAGCATCCCATTCCCTCATATTCTGCTCCTCCCTCCCCATCTCCCATCTTCCTCCCCTTCAATCCAACAAACTCCCAATTTTCTCAGGGATTCTTGTCTGTTTCCCCTTCCCAGTGAGATCTATGTATGTCTCTCTTAGGGTTCTCCTTGTTTCCTAGCTTCTCTGGGGTTGTGGACTGTAGGCTGGTTATCCTTTGCTTTATGTCTGATACCCACTTATGAGTGTACATAGGATATTTCTTTTAACAAAAACTTCAAGATATTTTTCAAATGATATTACATATTCTAGAATATGCTTAGTAAAACAGACTAAGAAACAAAGTAACACACCACAATGGCAAAACTTGTACTTTTAATGACATTTGATATTGGGAGCTTAAAGTGGAATGTCCTGTTGTTCTGTGTGTACAGCTGAAGAGTTAATAGAGATCCAATGAAAACACATAGTTCCTTACATTCACTTAAGAAATGAGCACCTACTATGTGTGGGGGTACAAAATATGCCATACCGCTACTCACAGAAACGAAAAAAATGAAGCAGCTGCATTTGTGCTCTATCAGAGAGAAAACAAGCTGTGCACGGAACTGGACTGTATCTTTCATAATGTACGACAGTGTGTGCAAACTGTGACCAATACCATAATACAGTCTTAGCTCAAGAGCTCCAGAGCTCACGCTTGCTCCCCAGGCCTTAGAACTTGCGACACGTGGAGGCCCACGTGTGTAGGCCTTAGTAAATGGGTGCAGGGAAGCATTAAATAGCACTTATGCATGCCAGACATCGTTTCAAGCACTGTTTATTGTCACAACACCCATGATTCCTGTTTCAGATGGAGAAACCAGGACAGAAGTGTGTCCATAGTCACACAGCTAGCACACAGAACAAGTTCAGTTCAAAGCTGGAACCACAGCTCAAGTCCACTATGTCCTGAACTATGGAAACAGGTTGATATAAGATCGGGGTGGGGTAGGGAGAGGTCACATCTGGAAGATTCAGACTGTAAAGTTCTTGAATACCAAGTGGAGGCATCTGGATTTATTCCAGGGATAAAACTGTTAGAAAGTCTTGACCAAGGACGTATGATCAGAACTGCACATTTAAGACAAATGTTCTGGGAGCTGCAAGATCTGGTTAAACTAGAGGGAAGTGGAAGACATAACTTTGGAAGAGATAAGGGGCTGGTAAGGAAAAGGAACAGGTGAACTCACTGCTGGAGAGAACAGTGGGAGACCTGATTACTGAATTTATGTACAAATTCTAGAGAGGAAGCCAGAGAAAGGAGGAATGAACCCAAATCTTCAGCCAGAAAATGTTAGACAACTAATGAGAAAATCAGGACAGTACATTCCGTGGAGAAGCATTTACAATTACAGAATTCTTTTGAATTCTGGCTAGGAATTCAAAAACATACAGACTGGACACAACTCATGAGCTCATTCACATAAATGACCCATGAGGATGAGTTCACAATAAGCCAAGCAGGCAGGGCCTCAGCATATTGGAGGAAGACTGGGATGAAAGTATTTGTTGAAGACAGAGACAGGGGCACAAGCATCTCTCAAACCAAGACAGAGAATCTCAAGGAAAGAGAACTGACGCCGGATGCAAAAGAAACAACAAAATGAGATCCCAAGAATATGAGTGGAATTGGAAAAAAAAAGAATACTTATTAACTAGACAGTCATTTATGAGCTCTAGGAGCAGAATTTCAATAGTGACACTGAAAATAAGAGTCATTAAAAACATAGATTGAATATGAATGCTTTGGAACCTATGTGTGAGAAGACATGCGACTTCCAACTGATGGCCCTGTGAGCGCAGGCTTTGAGTGAAAAACAGCAACTTCGGACGGTCAAAATTTTAACAGTTTTCTAAATGGAGGAAGAAATTGAAAGAAGGGCTGGATTCTAAGGACCCTAGCAACCAAATCAAACTGGAAAAGAAAAGTCATTTTTCTCTGAGAATGGGGAAGATATGACATTTGAACAGGCTACAGGGGAGTTTGAAAGTTACAGAGCAATAAAATGGTTCTGCTTAGTCTGTTTATCTGTTTGCTGATGTCATTTAAATTATTCACATTTATTTTACTGAAACTATCTAAAAATTAAGCATATGCACTATATTCAAGTTTTCTTTGTCTAGGTAATCTAAATTTAAATAAAGGTCTAGACAATACTTTAGATTCTTATAGCTGTACAATAGTTAACCAGACTTGGGGGCTCTATGCTTTGGTTTTGTAAACCATATCACACCATGAAAAATGGAAAATAAACAGATTGTTTTCCAAGTAAATGTTGTTAAGTGATGTTGCAAGTGGATTCTTTGGATGACTTCCATTTTTAAATTCTTGGCTAACAAACAAACTTTGCAGTTCTAACCAATTACCAACTCGTGATCTTTAAGAAACATTACCAAGGTAAGCATTACCACCCTCAGTTATAGAAAGTAGAGGTGCATTCCACACAGAATCAAGGCAGACTGTCCTGTTGTTCCACTGATGATTGTTCTAGAACTAAACAAAATATTGTATTCTAATATAGCTTAAAAGTAAGTGTTAGGTTTAAAACCTGGGACTAATGACTGAGGTGCCTATTTAGCATATGAAGGCAGACCTAGCTACCAGGTTCTTCAGGCAATCCCTCAGCCCCTAACTATTATGGGGTTCTCCTGGTTGGCATACCCTGCCCCTTACGCTCCAGTCCAGGGGACTGGGCTCCTCTTCCCCATATAATCCAGACATTTTGTACCTCTTTGTACCTTTGGGCCTCCTGGCTACAGCACCTGGTCCCTGCTACCCTCTCTCTCTCCCCTCCCCACCTCCTCACATGGCACAACTAAGCCTGATCATGCCCACTCTGGACTCACCCAGATGCCCCTCCCTCTACCAATGCTCCCCCTCTTACCTTTCTCCTCCTCCATACCTAGGAGCAGTCATGTCCTTTCCTTTTTATTTCTCTTTTTCATTCAGTAAGTACTGTACTTGACTTTCTTGAGAAAATTACATTGCTACAGAATCCACTGATAAAGTAGCCTAAAGCTTAAGGATTTAATAAATTGCTCAATGGCTTTTTTCTTTGTTTTCCTTTGTCTTTGTTGTGTCCATTTGTTTTTAAAACACAGCATTGCTGTGTAGCCCTGGCTAGTTGGCTGGGAATTTAGTATTAAACCAGTCTAGCCTCAGGCCTGCAATAATCCTCCTTCTTCTGCCTCTGAGCACTAGGATTACAAGTGTGTGCCACTATACCTGGCTCATGTATATAATCTTTTATAATAATTCAGTTCATTGAGAAAAACATCAACTGAGTTCATACAAGATGTCAGGCTCCATTGTAGGCACCAAGTATATGAGAATTAATGAGACATTCCCGGTAATCTGTAACAAAGGCAAAGTATGAGACAGAAAAAAGGTATCCATAATGTTAAAAGAGTGAGTATAGTCCTAAATCAGGTTCTGCAGTATAGTCAAGACCCAGACATTTTATGAAAGGCAGAAATCACAATTGATAATCCCACCGGGAGACAGTAGTAGACGAAAAAACTGACCTGGGAAAGCACAAAAGAAGCAGGTATCAGAGCTAATGGCAAGAGGAAGCAACTGCAAATCCTAGGGTTGGGGGTTCTAGGGAGCTCAAGGGGGTCAGATCTAGAAACTCAACTCTTTACAGGGCGCAGTACTCCAGGGAGAGAATCTCCCCCATAGCTGCAGGGTTGGGGGTGCAAGAGGCTAGAATAAAATAAAATATCAAATAGTGCAGACCGTTGCCGTTGTCATGGTGACACTGACAGAAACAAGGCAACAGGAAAGAACCCAGTCCCTTCTCCCTCCTACTGATTCCCAAGTTCCTTCTAGTCTGATGCCACCGATTGTGAAGTCTAGCAAAGTCAGCTGTAGAAAGCAGTGGAGTTTGCAGAGAGCTCCAGCCCACCACAGGGCACAGCCAAGGTAGATTTGGAGCTAAGGGGCTTATTCACCTAATGCCAGACCAAGAATTCTCCGAACAGGTGACATCTGAGCTGATGTTTGAAAAATGAAAATAACTATTATGGAAATTTTCCATAAACCTTTTTCTTTTAGTGTGTGAAACCCCCACATGAGAAGGTGGGGAGGAGCATCTCAGACAGGGAAGGGCAAAAGAAATGAAACTTCAGGAAGGAAGCCCTCAATGCAAGAGGGATGGGGGAAAATTCTGAAATACAGACCAACACCACATGGCGCTGACTGCCACCTCAGTGTGAAGTTTGGGGGTTAGTACTCCATCATCTCCTGCCTGGGGCAGGTATCACCAGGGGCTCCTGAAGACCCTGCAGGTTTCAGAAAGAAAGACAGATAGACACCAACTGAAGGCAAGGCATCAGACTAAACAAAGGTTACTACAAACGAAACAGTGCATTCTCGCCCCCATACCTGTTCCTCTATTCATATTTTGTTCCCTAGTGAGAGGCGCCAGCATGCACCCGGAGCCGAAACCTGAGTCATCTTGCTTCTTTCTCAGCCCCCACACATCCATTGAGTCACCAAATTCTGACACTATTCACAGTTCCCAAACAATCCCTCCTTTTCTTCCCTCCTCCAGGTCCTTGGTCTCAGCTTGCAGAACGGCTTTCCTCAAATCTTTCTTTAACATGGTTATTGGAGTGACCAAGCCAGACTGTAAGATCTCTCTATATAGACTTCCTTACAGGGAAACCTCTGCCGTCCATGATCCCAGGGCCCAGTTAGAGCATTCAAAGCTCTCTGCAACACTTCCCCAACTTTAGGGTTCTTTCTCTGACACACCAGACTATTTTGCAAGCAGTTGCCCCCTCAAATCCAAGTCATTTGATGCCTCCTGCCCTTGCTCAGGCTGATTGCTCTTTGAATAATTCTCATGGGGATTAGAGGCGTGGCTCAGTGGCAGAGCGCTTGTCTTCCCTGGGTTTGCTCTCCTGCACCACAAACGAAGGAAAGGGGTAAAGCAAAATGAAATAAACTTTACCTTAGCATTACCTCTTCTGGAAACATGCCTAAAGCATCACATTGAACAAAGTGCCCCTTGCCCATGTTCCCAGAGTCCTTTGGGCACCATTCAGAAGAGAAATTCTTCATCGTAATGAATTCTCACATGCCACTTCTGAAGGTAAGTTCTTTTGGGGCAGATTCTGATCATCTTGCAGCCAAGCATGAGGTGGCACCTTCAGTAGCAGGTGCTCAACACTAAACTGACCAACAGAACTAACACTGTACAGCTTCACCAGGAGCCAGAGTCAGAACATAGAAAGAAATCTTCCTACCTCAAGCTTAGAACACAGTTGAGAGGACTTCATGCAGAAGCCCATCTTATGAAGGGCAAAGACGGAACTAACAGGTCAAGCATCTTTCTTTGACCAGGTGCTTTAAATCCAGACTTATACAAAGTCATAAATATGCTTTGTGAATGTTAAAACATTCATATCTAAAGGTAAATATTCAAAGCAAACTATTCATATTTTTTCTTGATATACTTTAACCTCAAAAGATATGAAAGTAATACCGAAGGGTTTCATCCAGCTGCTTCAAAATTAATGTCATCAACATTAATCAGAAATCAGATCTATGCAAGACTTTCCTGAACAGGATCATTGGTAAGTGGTGACCATGAAGTACATATACCTTGTGAGGAATGGATGACATACTTGAGTGATGAATGAGGGGAGCGTGTCCATCAGAGCCAGGCAGGGTAGCACACCCCTGTAGTCACAGCACTATGGAGGATGAGGCAACAAATTGCTGCAAGTGTGAGGCCCACCTGGACTCCATAGCAAGATCCTATTGGAAAAAAATTACCTATCTATGAATGGCACTCAACATTTAAAAAAAAAAAAAAAAGATGCATCAGAGCATCCAAGGCAAAAATAACAGGGCACCTGCATGGGCCTCCATGGAGTCTGCTTTTTTTCTGAAAACTGCAAGTTAGATGGCATCCCAGCTCCTAGAACCTGTGCCCTGACACATTCTGAGCATGGCCCTCACCTCTGCTTCTAGGGAGGCTTCCTGATGCCAACACATCCACACCCGGTCTCCAGAGTCAATTACTGTTGTCCTCGTAGCATCCCTCAGACACTTCATGTTTGTCCTGAGCAAACACAATACTCTTTGGACCCTGCCAAAATCAAGCACCTGAATCTTGAACATAGAATGTAGGGACCCAAGTGATGTGAATTCACCCAGGTAGTGGCTCCTCTCCTAGTCCATATATTCAGCTAGCATCCTTCTGTGTGCTTCATCCTCACTAGCAGCAAAGAAGATACTGAGACAGCTGTGTAATCTCCAGCACGTGACCAAAGCATTAAAGTATGATGGGATACAGAGACTCTCCCAAACAGAGTGCAAGAACAAATAATTTCGTCATGTTCTCACGACAGAGGGGGATGGTGTGTGTTTATTCATTCATCTAACAATTACTGAGTTCCCACTTACTGTGTGTAAAAAATACAGCAGATGGAGATACGAAGGCAAAATAATGAGGCTATACAGCTGGCCCTCAGCAGGTTCTAAGCACTGTTACTCTGTAAGAATGTTATCTTCGTTTGAAGCTTTGGAGTTTTTTGTTTCTCGGTTTTGCTTTAGTGGAGATGGGAATGATTTTTGTTTGTTTGTTTAGTGGTTTGGTCTATATTGCTTTCATTTTGTTTTGTTTTGTTTTTTTACATAGGCTCTCACTCTACAGTACAGGCTGGTTTCAAACTCCTTGCAGTCTTCCTTCCTCACCTCTTAAGTGCGGGGGGGGGGGGGGAGGATTACAGGTCTGAGCCTCCAAGCACAGCTTGAAGCTTGAAGCTTTTTCTTCACAGACGCTCAAAATGCCTTCGAGGTTCTGAAAACCAGAATAGAGGGCAACCGAATGATACATGATCAACTGAAGGATAAATGACATCTTTTCAATTTTTATTATACCTTTTCCAGTCATACTATCACCAGGATGGTTTTCATCTCCAAAAAGCCCCAGAACTTCCACTGGCCAGGCTGGATTCTCAGGAATGCCAGCACCAATCGTCTCTGGGGTTGGCTGATCTCTGGGCTGCTCCTTCCCAGCGTCATTCTTCCTTCAGAGCTCTGTCAGCACATTGTGATGCAGAGGTAGTAGAACAATGCCAGGCAGCCTCCACCAAGTGCTTAGCTGCCTGCTCAGTACACAGAAACACCTGCTAAAGAAATGTGAAGAGAGCAGACACGTGCTACTTGGAAACAATTCGCCTGTTCAACACCCAGGAGATTCCGGTGACCCTTTACAGACTTGCTTCTACGTAAGTTTGTGTTGGTCACAGCAACCTGGATGTGAGCCTGAGGAAGAGGGGAATGAGTAGTTTGGTTAATATGGCTATCTGAGACGTGAGGGCCTTTCTTCACATCTTTCTCTTTTCCCTGGTTTCAATTTTTTGTACCTTAACTTGAACATATTTTTTTTAAAAAAAAACAATTTAGAGACCTAATAGTTGGCGACTGAAGTTCTTTTACTTAAAAATTAATCTCACTGAGCCTGTGGAGATGGCTCTGTTGGTACAGCAGGAGCTGAATCCAGGGAGTCCCTAGAACACACATTCTAGTGAGATGGAGGTGGCACGCCTGCTTATAATCTTAGCACTGGGAAGATGGAGATGCGTGGAACCCCGGGACTCACTGGCCAGGAACCTCACCTGCCAGGCAAGTTCTGAGCCACCAGGAGACTTTGTCTCCCCAAAAGAGTGAATAGTAACTGAAGAACACCCAAGATTGTCCTCTAGAGCAAACCACACACACACACACATGCTCGTGCACTTGTATACATATTAAACACATACAACCCTCACTGACAGTTTAAATCTGAAATGAAAGCATGCTTTCTGGGTTGCTTTTAAACTTGAGTTTTAAATCACCATCCCAGTTGTCTTCTACTGGTGACTGAGAAAAGAACAGATAGATTGGCTAGAAGACTCACTTATAATTATTCAAGTGGAAGAGAGGATCCACAGGGTCTGATGTTCAGAGCTGAAAGGGGGAGCACCATAGAGAAAAAAGGAGCCTACCGCAGTCAGAACTTCTCAGCCAAAATTTCAGACTAGAACTGTGATGGGCCTGACCTCAAAAGATGCCTAGTAGTGCATTGAAAATAACAGGCTGAATTGGCTAATGCACACCTATAGTCTCAGCTCCTCAAGAGGCCACTGTTGGACAGTCGAGAGTTCAAGGCCGTCAGGTAGCATCAAGAGAAGTTTTAATGAGTGAAAGGCAAAGGCTACCATGAGAAGCTATTGTGTAATTATATATGTAAATAGCACACTAAGAGAAAAGATCACAGGAGAATATGCATGTCAGGTCTATAGAATTCTTTCAACTTTGCTATGCATGAAGATTTATTTTTAAATACTGGAGAGAGAAGATCACATTGGAAATGGTGAATAGAAAGTGCTTAAAGACATTAAGTATCTGTGGGCATCTTCCTGTATTAGGCAGTCAGAAAACCCAAGCAAAACACACTTCCCTTCCACATTGGTGCCTGAGCCTCTCTCACTCCCTCTGCACTGTTCCATTAACGCCCACGCTGCCACATTTCCAAATGTTCTGGCTGATTGCATTTAGTCCTAGGAACACAGCATCAGCACAGCACGAACACACACCCCGCCTGTTCATCCCCTCCTTAGCCCCTCTGAGCTCCGTCGTCCTCAGCGGCGGACTCTGTATGACAAAGCTGAGGCGGCTCCACCCTGGCTGGAGACACTGTTGTCCTGGTTACGGGACTGGCAATGGGTTCTGACCTGTAATTGGATTTAACATGGAACCTCTTTTATTAAATATATCCAACAATGCTTTTCTGCTGAAAATTACACTGCAGTTCTGTAGAAAACTACAGCCTTATGAGCAGAGCTGCTGAAGGAATCTCCATTCAGCTGAAACTGGAAAACAGAAATGTGAGGGGGGAAGTACCGGGTCAGAGAAAGAGCAGAGACTGTGGCGCAGTGGTTCTCAACCTGTGGGTCGAGACCCTTTTGTCAAACCTCTAGCTCCAAAAATATTTGCATTAAAATTCATAACAGTAGCAAAATTACAGTTATGAAGCAGCAACAAAATAATTTTATGGTTGGGGGTCCCCACAACATGAACAGCTGTATTAAAGGGTCTCAGCGTTAGGAAGGTTGAAAACTCATGTAGAGGACTTGCTAGTGACAGAGGAGTTAGGAACTGGATTTCTTCACGATGCTGCAATGCTGCAGAAACCCTAGTCTTCAATAGTATTCTGTTTCTTACCTGTTTAGTGCAATGCACAGGGCATTGGGTAGGCCTAGGAAAAGCCATAAACTTTGGGAAAATATAAACTATATTGTTGGGAAAATATAAACTATAGTTGAGAAAATGCACAATCTTGGGTTTTGGTTTTGGTTGAAGTTAGAGTTTTTTGAGACAGTTTTTTGCAGCCCAGGCTGACCTCAAATTTGTTATGTGGTTGAGGATGACATTATATTCCAGATTCTCCTGCCTCGCTTGCCAAGTGCTGGCGTTACGGGCATGCACACCACACACAGTAGACATAGCTCTAGAAGAACATATTGTAACAACTGTGTCTGCACACCCGTGAAGCTCCCACAATGAAGTCCAGTTATGTGCTTTGCTTCTCTTCTAGTCACACATTACATAACACAAACCTATTAGAGCTGCATTACAACTACATAATCAGTTCAGGAGATTAGCAATGCAGAGAAACCATCCCTCAAAAACAGCAACAAAATAAAGGTAAAATTATTATAAAAGCAAACTGTCTTTAACATTTAATCCCATACAAACTGGAACTGTTCGGAAGGAGGTTTTGGTGGTTGTAACAAAGTCTCCCTGTAGTCCAGGCTGCCCAGATACTCACGTTCCTCTGCATCCATCTCAGTAGTGCTAGGGTTACACTACCACATCCACTACAAAACAACATCTGCAACGCATGAAAAGGGCTACAGCGAAGCTGTCGGGTTTCTCTTACAAGGAAGCAGAGCAGATCACAGGAAAGGTAGGGGAGAGTTACCCTGAACCCATCTGCTTCTCTTTAAGAGAAAACCACTTCTTAGTCATCAGTTTAACCACAAGGCACCATTATGTTGGGAACATCTTAAAAGAGATTAAAATGCTCCAAACAGCTCCACTCTGTGATTGGTAACCGCTACTTTTTAATACTTAATGTTATGGGGAAATTTTAATATGTATATGTTAAGTAAAGACCTATTTATAAAGCTGAGACCAAAATCTCACTACAACTCCAGGTATTGAGAATGAACATAGTAAATAATCAATTAAGTGATTTAATGAACCATTGGACTAACAAAACCCACAATACTGGATCTGAAAACTTCCTTACCAGTTGTTGGTCTGGGGAGTCCAAGATTCTCTTAAAACAATATAGACTATTGCTGCTGCCCTTGGTTACCTCCTGAAAGTTGAAGGTGAGTCCCTATTGCTGAAGGCACTTTGGATACAGGACACAGAGGATTCAAGCTGGACCTGACCCAAAAGCCAGCCCCCCACCCCAGGACAAGCTTTCATAGTGCCAGAAGGTGCTATACATGGAAAGGAAAGCAAGCAATAGTGTTACACAGCTGTGATGTCTCTGAGCCACAACAATGACCAGCAGGGCAAGACAGCCCTAGGGGCTCAATAGTGGCACTAATGTCTAGGTGGAAATCAACAGCTGCCCAGTTGGACTTTAAGGCCTGATCAACAGGAAGGAAATCACGACTGACATTGGGAACAGCGAATTCCCCAGGGCTAGTGTGGATCTTCAAGGAGAACCTATTGCTGCTACTTTCCTAAATGAGTGTGAGTCTTAACTGCCTTGTCAATGCTCATTCTTAAATCCTCAGTGTATCGCACGCCTCATCCAGGAAGTTGCTTTTTATCAGTAGATGGAGACCATTACAGAAAACCACAACTGGTCAAGATGGAGAGAAGGACTGGCCATGGGTGCTGATCCCCACCTCAATTGATACACCTACAACATAACCCTTACTCCTCACTCTCAGCGAACATCATGCAAGAAAGAGTGAAAACAACGTAAGAACCAGAAGACCAGGAAATCTGCTGTCATAGGGCCCATGAGATTGTGTCTTCCCAATGACAGGGAAGCTACACCCATGAAACCTCAATAACATAGCTTTTCCTTTTTTAAAAAAAGATTTATTTATTTATGTATACAGCATTCTGTCTTCATGGATGTCTGCAGGTCAGAAGAGGGCACCAGATCTCATTACAGATGGTTGTGAGCCACCATATGGTTGCTGGGAATTGAACTCAGGACCTTTGGAAGAGAGTAGCCAGTGCTCTTAACCTCTGAGCCATCTCTCCAGCCCTCATAGCTTTTTCTAACAAGACACAAACAATGACAATACTAGTGGACATGCCAATCTGCTTGTGGGAAATCTCTAGATGAAGAGCTACAGGCAATTAACAATTGCTGAGAGAGGGAGACTGTCTTCCCCAGGGATGAGTAACCCTATTTTGTTATCCAATACAATGTGGTCAGTCCTAAAAACACATATATACAAGCAACACTTAAACAAACTCAATGGTTGCATTTATGTATTTATTCATATATTTGTGTTTCATATTCATGTAACAATAATAAATAAAAAGGTATTAGTTTCAGAGAGAGTGAGGGGATGTGGGAGGGGTTGGAGGGAGGAGGAGGAAATCATATAATTACATTTTAATTAAGAATAAGCCAGGCAGTGGTGGCACATACCTTTAATCCCAGCACTCGGGAGGCAGAGGCAGGTGGATCTCTGTGAGTTTGAGGCCAGCCTGGTTTGCAGAGAAAGTTCCAGGACAGTCAGGGCTGTTACGCAGAGAAACCCTGTCTCGAAAAAATCAAAATAAAGAATAAAATAAAAATTTTAAAATCCATTCAAAATTCAATATACTAACCCAAAAAGTATCAAAGAAATTTCAGCACTTTCATAAAAAAACAAAAGCAAAAAAAAACAACAAAAAACAAAACACTTCATGTCAAAGATGATAAAAGAGACTGACACATTTCTGCTCTTTAGCTGAACTCACTTTTGTTTGGAGACCCAAGAAAGATGAAGAAGGACAAGACTCATTCAAGGTTGCCTCCTCTTCTCTCTTCTCTCTCTATGGTCTGAGTTCCTAGATACACCCATCTCTCAAGTGGGATTAGTTTCTAAAATTATTTTTCATTTTTACTTTAGGTGTCTCTCTCTCTCTCTCTCTGTCTCTCTCTCTCTCTGTCTCTCTCTCTGTCTCTCTCTGTCTCTCTGTCTCTCTGTGTGTGTGTGTGTGTGTGTGTGTGTGTGTGTGTGTGTTTTAGATGCACATGGGTGTATAGACGCTTATGCCTATATTTGCTTGCAGAGTTTAGAGAGGAGGCCAGGGGTCTTTCTTTGTTTCTCTTTGCCTTATCCTTTAAGATAGGATTTCACTGAACTAGAAGCTTGCCATTGTGGCTAGACTGACTAGCCAGCAAGTTCTGAAAACCTTCCTGTCTCTAACTCCAGCTCTGAGGTTATAATTATGCACCACCATGGCCAGCTTTTTACATAGGTGCTAGTGTATAGCAAGGACACTTACCCATCAATCCATCTGCACAGCCTCTGATCTTAAATTAAGGGTATCATAGAGGCCATAGTGACTGCACTGGAAAGAGACATTCCTGGTCCTAGTGGCCATGAGGCATCTACTGTTTAGTAAGTATCTACAAAAATAAGATGTACTTCTAACAAGTAACTTCTTGGAGTGAATTTGTTTCAAAGATGTGTACTCTGTCATCCAGCTCTGAATGATCAAGAATTGGGTGTTTTATTTATTCACGTCTAAGATATTATAAAATACTATGAGCCACTACAAAGAAAAAGAAAAAAAGACAAATGGACTTACACAACCCAATGCTTACTTTGAATTTTTCTAACCTGTTATCTATTTGTTGCTCTTCCATGCTATCATCTGCACATTTAAAATATTTTATTTAAAATGGTGCATGCATGTGTATGTGTGTATGCATGTGCATATGCGTGAATACACACCTGCCATGGTGTGCATGTGTTGTAAGAGGTCGCTTGTTTGTTCCCAGCTGCTCAGCCCCAAAATAATCACATAGAACCCTTATTATCTGCAATACTGTTTGGCCAATAACTTAAACTTGGCTTACTCATATCTTAAATTAACCTATCTCCATTAATCTGTGTATTGCCACAAGGCTGTGGCTTACCAGCAAAGTTTTGGCATCTCTGTCTCTGACAGCAGGTCCATGGCTTCTCCCTGACTCTGCCTTCTTTCTCCCATCATTCAGTTTAGTTTTCCCTGCCTAGCTAAGTTATGCCTTGCTATAGGCCAAAGCAATTTCTTTATTCATTAACCAATAAAAGCAACACATAGACAGAAGGACCTCCCACACCATTTCCCATTTACTGTTTAAATAAAAAAGGAAGGTTTTAACTTTAACATAGTAAAATTACACATAATAAAATAGGTATCAAGAAAGAGTTACAGGGCTGGAGAGATGACTCAGTGGTTAAGAGCATTGCCTGCTCATTCAAAGGTCCTGAGTTCAATTCCCAGCAACCACATAGTGTCTCACAACCATCTATAATGAGGTCTGGTGCCCTCTTCTGGCCTGCAGGCATATAAGCAGACAGAATACTGCATACATAATAAATAAATAAATATTTTTTAAAAAAGAAAGAATTACAGTTACAATATTTATATATACTTTTTCTTTTATCATAGCTAAGAAAAACTATAACTACAATGATCTATTCTTCAACTCCATCAAAGACTCCAGAAGGATATAATATTACCTAAGTAAATAGGAAGTGCATTGTAAGCAACTTTAAAAACTCTAGAATTGACAAAGACATCTTGCTGCCTGGTCAGTCATCCAAAGTTCTTCTGTATTGTTGGGGCATCCATCTTCAACCTACAGGCCCATAGTGTCTGGCAGACTTTTCCATGAAGCAGGAAATTTCAAAGACAGTTCTGCCTATATTGGCAGTTTGTCAGTAACTTTCTTCTGTATCCTGAAGAATGTCTGACAGATTCTTTCATGAAGCAGGAACCCTAAAGGATTGTCTCACCTTTGGGCAAATTCTGCAGTCAGTTTGCTGTGGGTCCTGCATGTCCAGTTCATATAGCACAACATCAAGCAGTTCTAAGTTCTTAAAACATTTTAAATTTTAAACATTTTAAATGCCATATTCTGAAGGTCTCTGAAAGATTTAAAGAATACCTATCTAACTGAAATATCTCTATATATCTACAAAACCTAGCTAACATGACTATGAGCTTGACTATTATAGATGACTCTCTATTAACCTATATTTCTTAATTATACATTACATTTTTAAATGAGCTGCACAAATACAATACCTTAATCAAGATCAGAAATATACATATAACAAAATTGACCTTAAATTTGTATCAATAAAGCAAGATCCATAACAATGCATATCTCTATAGTATATCCCCCTTTAAATGTAAACAAACATTTATAGACAATATTTGGGAATATGGACATAGTTCTCTCTAAACTGCTTCCTGCTTTTTGTTGGGCAAAGTATTTTTGGTAGTGTTCACAGTGGCTTTTCAGGGGGTCTTGGTAAGCAGCTTGATCACAAAAGACCTATTATACGTAATTTTTCTGTGTTAAAACCTTCCTTTTTATTTAAACAGAAAAGGGACGCTGATGTGGGATACCCTTCTGTATGCTGTGAATACCATTGGTTAATAAAGAAGCTGTTTTGGGCCTGTGATAGGGTAGACAGAACTAGGCAGGGAAAGCTAGGCTGAATTCTGGGAGAAAAAGAACAGAGTTTGGGAGAAGCCATGGAGCCACTGCCAGAGACAGACATGCTGAAACTTTGCCAGTAAGCCACAGCCATGTGGTGATACACAGATTAATGGAGATCGGTTAGTTTAGGGTTAAGAGTTAGCTGGAAATACGCTTAAGCTATCGGCCAAACAGTATTGCAAATAATATAATTTCTACATGGTTATTTCTGGAGTCTGGGAAGCCAGGAAACAAACAAGCAGCCTCCTATTACACACATGCATGTGGGTTAGAAGATAACTTGTAGGTGTCAATTCTCTTTCCACCATGTGGGTTGTAGGAATCAACTCAGGTCATTATTGTCTATAACAACTGATCCACCTCACTTACTCTGAGAATTTTCAAGTGTCTGACATAAGTTCTGCTACTTTTGTGCTGGGCTTTCTTAATCTTAACAGAAGGTGACATTAATAGCTTCAAGCAACCACATAACACAGTTTCAATAGCAGTGAAGTACAACCTATCAGCATAATCTGTATTACCTCCTTAACCTTGTTACCTTATAGCTTCCTTGGGTACAGAAGCAGTTTCAGACCAATTGCTAGTTTGGGTCCAATCATATATGATCTTGATGAGGCGGCCAGGAAGTACTTGCCACACAAGCATGAAGACTTATCCCAGAACACATGCAAAAAGCCAGGTGCAGAGGCATGTACCTATAAACCCAGTGCCAGGGGTCCAAACAGGCAGATCCTAATGCTTGCTGGCCAGATGGTGTAGGTAAATCAATGAACTCCACTGCCAGTGAGAAACCCTGCTGCACATGCATACCTTCTCACACATACATGAACACATACATAAGCACATATGCACACACATGCAGTGACCATAGTGAATGAGGAACCATTGTGGCTTCTGGATTCAAATAGCCCATCCTGATGATGCCCAGACAGGGTAGTAGTCATGGAGCAAAGACGCTCACCTTTCATGGCAGCTAGAGAAGGAAAAAGAGAAGAAGAAAGAGAAAGGACCCCTTGGACAAGCTATAGCTCCCTAACGCATTCCCTGTGATCTCCTCTAGCTACTTGGCCCAACTTCTGAAAGTTGTCACCGCTTCACGGGGATGCTATCAAGTTATAAAGCCACATTGATTGAAGCTCTCATGGTCCAATGTTTAAGCCTATGATCCTATTGAGGGCACTTAACGTCCAAACCATAAAACCCACCTAGCACAGTTACAAGACTTTAAAGCTTAGACCTCAACGTATGAAATAGAAAGTATAGAAATGAAGTTAGCTTCCTCTGTATAATCTCTTATTTTCTGTATTTGTTTCTCTAACAAAAGCTTCATCATGAAAAGGAGGAAACTCAAACTGAAGTGAGTTACAAACATCATTTCCAACACAGGATTGTGACTCGGCCCTGAGGTGAGATTTGCTGGTCCTTGTAGATGAGACCATGGACAGTTGCGTGGTCACAGTTGCTCTTGACCTTTTCTCCTCCTGCCCTCTTCCCCTCCCTCTTCCACAACTCTCTACAAGCTCTCTTCTTCCTTTCTCTTGGAGATTCCATGTGCCAAGATACATCTACGATGATAAAGTTTACCGTAATCTTTACTGTATCTATGTATGCACATGGGAGGCAGCAACAACTAGCAGGAGATGATTCTCCCACCGTGTGGGTTCTGAGTGAAACTCGGGCTGCCAGCCTTTGCCCACTGAGCTGTCTCACCAGCCTTGCCATCTTCTCTAGATTGGAGGCACGGGAAGAGCCTGAGCTGACAGGTGGTGCCAGCGAAGCCAAGAGAACTGGTCTGTCTTCCTTATTGCATCCTGACCTCCTCTCCAACCGCTCTCTGTCCCACCAATGCACCAGGACCAAACTGTTTAGGAAGAGAAGGAAACAGGAAGGAAAAGAGATGTTTTCTGTGTTCTTTGCTCCTGTTCTCCTTTCTTCCCATCATCCCAAGCTCTCTCACTCTTGCCAGCTCCCACACCGAGTTTTCCAAGCACAAAAGGACAGGATTGACTTTGGGCAACAGCTGTGAGCTCCTTGAGTCAGGATAAGGACCGTCTGAATCCTAGTTTATTAGGTAGAAACTGTGTGATGATGGCAAAGTTACTTTCCCATCCTCAGTCTTAGCTGTGGTGTCTATGAGCGTAGCCAAAATTAAATGACTAAATGAGATAGGGCATGCAAAATCTTTATTGCTTACCCCATAGAAGCACTAATGTATAAATTATTATTTCTCGTCATCTCTATTTTAAGTGATGATGATGGTTGTCTTTGCTTTTTGTTTCTCATTGCTTTTCACAGTTTAGCTTCTAAGGACTGATGTGCTGGGGCCATTTCTCAGTAGTTAACTTCGACAGGCTATTTCAGTCTTCCCAGCTCTTCACTCTCTTGCTCATCTTGACTGATTTTATCCTCTCTGTGAACATAATTTAAGAAACTACAAAGGGAGCCACAGAGTTGCTAACAGTAGACAGCCTGGCAGGGAAAACCGTGCTAAGAAAGGGAATTGCACAGCCTGCCCAAGGCCAAGTGCTTGTGAGAGGCGCAGCCCTGACAGCAGGTGCGGAGACATGCTTAGGATTTCCTGTTCTTCTTGGACTCTGACGGGACACAAGGAATGACTGTAGCTGTGACTTACACTTCCTTAATGATCAGTAAAGGTTAGTGTCTTTTAGTGTTTGACCTTTTGCATATATTCTTACAGAAAACATATTTAAAGTAGGAAGAATAATCTCTTGAATGTATGTACATAAATTTGGGGGTTCTGTTTCTTCCCTTCCTGCATTTTTGATAGACAAAAGGTGAAATCAGTGGCATAGACGCATTGTTTCCTGCTGAAGCTGTCTTCAGAGAAGGAGAGCATGAGCTATGTAGCAGGGAATAGACTGTCCTTGATTAGATAGATATCCCATTTATCTCCCTAACAAAGGCTAAGGCTCAGTCATGTGTGAGGTGTTTAATGTACTTTTCACATCCTTACACAAAAGGACATGAGATCCCACCAGGATTAATTTATTGGGAAGATAGAAAATAATGGTTTCAGCCGGGCTGTGGTGGTGCATGCCTTTAATCCCATCACTCAGGAGGCAGTGAGTTTGAGGCCAGCCTGGTCTACAGAGCGAGTTCCAGGACAGGCACCAAAAGCTACAGAGAAACCCTGTCTCAAAAATAAAAAAAAAGGAAAGGAAGGAAGAGAGAGAGAGAGAGAGAGAGAGAGAGAGAGAGAGAGAGAGAGAGAAAGAAAGAAGAAAGAAAGAGAAAAGAATGGTTTCAGGTAGAAGGCGTATATTAAAAGTCTCCTTACCTTCCTTCCCACACTAGTAAGGACTGCCAGTCACATACCCGTTCTTCTTTATAACTGGTGTTTGTACTATTAGACAACTTTTGTGTTTTATTGCTAACTGTCTGTCACCCCCGCCCAAAGTATAAGTTCCTGGTGTATATGTGCCTACATTGCCAGGTGTGGAGTCAAGCATATAACAGATTTGATAAAAACTTACTCAGTAATAACTAACAGATGCAGTGTACCTGTGGATTCATTAGTTTGCTCTCTGTTCTCTCACTTTTCTGATGGTCCATGTCAGCATGATGGAGAAGAACAAGCAGTCAGAGGATGACCAAGATCCTGCCTGGATCCCACAGTCTTTCCGTCTAGGGCGTCTTAAGAATGCGTTGGACGGAGGGGAGTATGCCCCTTTTATAACCCCTCCCATATTGGAGAGTAATTTTATTCAGGTAAATAACACTTGCACTCTCAACCAAGTCCTGTCACGCCCAGATTTCATTTTCTCAAAGACAGTGAAATGTTGAAAAGAGAAATCTTTTATTGGCATGCGGGGACAGTGTGATATTAGGGGGGACAGTGTGATATTAGGGGGAACAGTGTGATATTGGGGGGACAGCGTGATATTAGGGGGACTTTTAAAAAGCCTGAACACTTAGCGTTACAGGAAAATGTTCCAAACAAACTCGAAGGCAAGAATTCTGTCCAAATTCTACCGTGCTAACCAAATTGTCATGCTAACATAATCTCATTACACAAAATGTTTAGAACATGCTATCACAGGAAGGTATCCAGATAATTTCTTTCTTCGAGTTTTATTTTAATTTTTTAAAACTGTATATTTTATGTATGTGAGTGGCTTGCCTGCATGTGTTTGTACACCATGCATATGCTTATAAATGGTTGTGAGCCAGCATGTCGATGCTGGTGATTGAACCCAGATTCTCTGTAAGAGCAGCGTGGTCTTACAGCTGAGCTGCTCTCTAGCCCCTAGACCTATATTTTAAAGACAAACATCTGAGGCTGAAGAGGAGCTCAATGGCAGAGCCCTGGTCTAGCATGCACAAGACCCTGGGGTCAGGCCCTAGTCACCAAGTAAGTAGACAACAACCTGGGAAGTGCTAAGAGTTAAAATAAGTCTTAGATGCTGGTTCTGAAAGGGCAATATAACTGTCAGATAGTGTCAGAGACAAAATCTTCTTTCTTGCAAGAATGCGCCAGCATCCTGAATGAAGCTGCTGAGCACCTGGGAGGTGGCTGGGCTTTCCTCTCAGCACTCAACATTAGGCTCTCAAGCAAAGATATGGGCTCAGCAATGTGAACCATGCCTGTCCCTCACAGAAATGTCATGATTGTCTGCTGCTAAACACAGAGCCAACACCCTCAGCTGATCCCACAGAGTATACCAAGGAAGGTGACAGACACCTCAAAGATAAGGAGAGTTCATACTTCATAAGTGTGGAGGACTAGCGTGACGTCTCTGTGTCCAACATGCCACGGGGAAGAGCGGAGTCTCCAGAACACGTTTCAGTGCTGCCCTAGAACACACGATCCCCAGGAACACATGATGTCATAATTTATTGGGTTTGGCATTTGGTTACTTCCTCCTGCCACTCTCTTTCCTCTTTAGTTCTGCATCTTTTTCATACTATCTCTTGTGCACTCTGATCACACAACCCTGGCCCCACATGAGGAAGGGGGAGTTTATGATCTTCATATTAGCCACAGTCCCACATAGCTGCATTCACACTCTCCAAGATGCCCAGTTTTTCCTAGTTAGTCATTGGCAGCAAGCTACCAAAATTCCTGACTCTGGAGATTCAAGTGAGGGGGAGAAAAACAAGCATCTTCGGAAGCACCCAGAGTGCTCGCTCACTTGAACTAACTGCTAAATATGTGCTAACACATCACCAACTACATTCCTAAGTCAATACCCCAGTCACATGCTCCATAGTACCCTGAAGTACTAATAGTTACCTTAGTCGCTAGCTCTGGTCCTTCTTATGAGACCCCACAGACCAGAGACTGTGGCTATTCATTCTGCTATCTCCCAATCATGAACAAGTCAAGGAATGGAGGTACCATGGCTCATTTTCCCTGTTCTCTTGCCTCCCTTACACTGCTCTAGCAAGCAAGGGTGCTAAATCCATGCCTCTCATCAAGAAACTCCTTTCCTGATCTCTGCTTTCAGGTCAATAGGAGAGGTGAATCGATTTATCTGCATAACCGAGCAAACTGGGTGACCATCGGCATCTGTTCTTCCAATCCCATCCTCAAGACCCCCAATGTGATGCTGTTGGCACATCTGACACCAGAGGCTAGAAAAGAGTCAGAACCGCTCTTTAAACGCCTCCTGTCATCTTCCTCCACAGAGAAGCTGGTGCTCACCAGGTGAGTCCCAGGACAGGAGGACAGCAACCTCTCAGAGAACACCATATCCCCACAGAGCTGAAAGTGGAGATGCTGACGGCTAGGGTTCCAAAGGAGCCTTCAGGCGCATCACTTTCTCAGATGATGCAGGGGTGTCTATAAGAGCATTCAGAGGAAAAAATAGTTCTTGACAACTGACAATTAAGTTTTTCTTTTTTAAAAAAAAAAAGAAAAACCTAAAGTAATGAGGACTAAAAACAGCAGTCTGCCTCTCAAGACTTTGCTCTTCCTCCCCACAGTAGCCTCGCACCCATCAGAATTTGTCTGGCCTCATCTAGTCTAGGCTTAATTTTGGCCTGATTTTTAGACAATTTCATCACTGTATACCTACTGTACAAATAATGGGTTTCATTATGAGTTTCCAAATGTGTGCATTAAGTACCTTGACCATACCCACCCTTCTTTGCCCTCCCTTGGCCCCCAACCCCATCCCATCGAGCCATCTCTTCTTCATCTCATACAGTCTCCTTTTACTTTCATGTCTTTTATATCTGTGTAATTGTATGTATGTGGGGGTGTACATGCATGTGTGTGTGTGTGTGAGTGTGTGCATATGGATGCATGTGTGTCATGGTGTATACGAGGAGGTCAGAGGACATCCTCAGGTGTCAGTCATCAACCTTCTTCCCCGCTAGAGACAGCGTCTCTCTTGTTCACTGCTGTGTACTCTGGACTAGCTAGTACAGAAGCTTCCAACAATTTTCCCATCCCCACCTCCCATTTCCCAGGAAGGGCAGCTAGGATTACAGATGCTTGTACTGAGTTTCGAAGTCCAAAACCAGGCCATCAGGCTCAATTATCACCCCACCTCCTTTTTAAACATCCAGACTTGTCATGAGAGAGAGCATGTTACTTTTGACTTCCTAAATCTGGCTTATTTCACTTAATGCCATCTCTAGTATTAGACACTTTCTGCAGATATCATCTCATTATTCTTTATGGATGAATAAAGCTCCAGTGTGTGTGTGTGTGTGTGTGTGTGTGTGTGTGTGTGTGTGTGTGTGTTTCTTTACCTATCTATCTGTTCATACTCCCTGGTCTAATTCCATAACTTGCCTGTTGTGGCCAGTGCCCTGGAAACCAGGAGTAAGCAGGTATATCTGTTGCATGACGCCTTAGATTCCATTGGACGAGCACAACAAGGAATGATGTTGCTAAATCATGTGTGAGTTCAAGTTTTAGCTCTTTGAGGAGCCTCCATGCTGACTGGTTACCATAGCAGCTACACTAAGTTACACTCCTACCAGTAGTACATAATGCTTTCCGTATTCTCCCTGGAGCGCTGCCAGCACCTGTTGTTTGTCTTAGTTATAGAAACCATTCTGACTGGGATAATATTAAATCTCAATGTAGCTTTCATTTGAATTCACAGATCTGCAAACCTCAACTTCTAATATATTTATTTTTTTATTTGTGTGTGTGTGTGGGGTGTGGGTGTGTGTGTGTGTGTGTGTGTGTGTGTGTGTGTGCAGTGCATCCACAAGTCCAATATTAGGAGACAAGTTTGTGGAATTAGCCTGTCCTTTTCCATATGGGTTCCAAGGGATTGAACGTAGGTCATCAAGCTTGGCTGTGGGTACCTTTACCTAGCTAGAGCCATCTCACCAGCCCTCAGCCTCAACTTTTCAGGATGAATGAGGATGGGCAGCTCCTCATGACAAACAATGTTCTTGTCACTTAGTAAAATCAGAGTCTTAGAGGCATGATTAAGATGAGATGGCTGTTAGGAGCCCCCATCCACACCTATCTGGGACACAAGGCCATTGACTGTCTCATTCTCCGAGCTGGTAAATCCTTTCACAGGTCTCCAACCAGGTCTTCACTTGTGTTTGTTTCTAGGTTTCTCCCTTTGCAGTTTGTGACTCTTTCTGTGCACAGTGCTAAGAACATGCGACTCAAAGTCAAGCTGATAAGCGGCCGAGCCTACTATTTACAGCTCTGTGCTCCTGTATATAAACAGGATATCGTATTTTCCCAGTGGGTGGACCTCATCACCCTCTTGAACCAGGAGAAAGCCAGAACTTCCAAAGTATCCGAGGTTTCCAGCCTCTCGGAAATCACAAACAGCACAGACATCACAGGCTCGATGGACATCATGGACATCACGGCTTTTGCAGAGCTGCAGGCTGTGCACTCGCACACCCGCATCTACTCCGCTGCCGTCACTGAGAGTGCAGACTTCTCAGAATTTACAGATGTTACCGATATCACTGATGTCACTGATGTCACCGATGTCCCAGAAACTGGGGCCACAGACGTTCCAGATGTAAAAATCGTCACAGAGGTCACAGAAGTCATAGAAGACAAAGAGGCCGCAAAAGGCTCAGGTGTCACAGTAGTATTTGAAAACGACGACATAAGAAAGGCCAAGGAAGAGGAAAAGGTATGTGTTGTAGGACTTCCATTCTCTGGTGACCACACGCAGGAGCTGTGGCCAAGTTCTCAGTCAACAGTGATGATGAAAACGCTGTGGAGCCAACTCCGAGTACCATGATTGCAACAAAGGACTCAACACCTGAGCCCCGTATAAGTCATAAAATATTCCCTAAACTAGTGACCATCCCTGTATCAAACCTACTCCAGTACCAGAAAGCAGTGGTGTGACACAGAAAACTTCAGGGCCAGAATCAGAAAACCGGGGTTAGAATCTTAACTTCTGGGTATCCCATTTATGACTGACTAAATTGGTGAACCTATACAACCTAAAATAAGAATATTAATATAGTCTAATGTCTATCTATGATTTGAGTATGAGGATGGGCTGAAGTTCTAATAAGAAAAGGTGAGGGCAGAAATCAGAAAATAAAATAGTTGAAGATCAGGGAGTACAGAAAGAAAAAAGGGCACAAAACTATAAAATTCACTTGAAAACTGTGTGCCACATTAGGAAATGGGGACTTAAACTTTGAATTAAGGAACTGAGCATCTTACATATCAATACAGTGGGCTGACAAGATGGCTCAGCAACAGACTTCCAGGGGACCCCAGATTCTAGCACCCACATCCTCAGCTCACAATTGCCTACAACTCCACCTCCCAAGGATGTGATACCCCTTTTAGCCTCCACAGTCACCTACACACATGTGGTGTGCACGCATGCTTGCACACACACACACACACATACACATGTGCACACACACAAACAAAAATAAAAATTTTAAGAACATATTAATCTGGTGGTGTGATAGATTGTAGAGATCAGTTTGAAGACAATTAGTAAAAAATCTCAACTAGATCCATGGTATAAAAAGAATTATGATTGAGAACAGACATCTCACAAAAGAAACATAGGAGAAAAAATTAAACATCTCCCTTCCCATCTTTCTGTGTCTGTAGTCACTGTGCTGTGAAACAGGTAAGGTGTGTTGCTCCCTCCCGGCTGCACAGCGGTATACCAGATGATCAGCATCTCTTTCCCCTTCCGAAGTCTCCTCCCTGATTTAACCCATGTAACTGACCGTGAACAGAGTGAAGACCGTGAATGGTAGAAAAGGAATGGTAAGGTGAGGGCTGGGAGATACCTGCAGGATGGGTGAGGACTGGTCACACATTCTTGAGATGATTGTGAACCAAGAACATCAGAGATATCAGACCCAGGGCTGGAGAGGTGGCTCAGTAGTTAAGAACACTGGCTGCTTTTCCAGAGGACCCAGGTTCAGGTCCTAGCACCCACATGACAGCTCACAATTGTAAGTTCAGTTCCAGGATATCCAATACTCTCAAACAGACATACATAATGCATACCCTCTAACAGGAATGAAATGTTTAGCTACAAAGATGTGAATCCTGAATTGGAGCTCTGGTTCAGTGATACGGTATGTGCTGGGTGCACACAAGGCCCTGGGTTCAGGCACTACACACAAGGAAGATGCTAATCATCCCATATCCACACCATGCCTGGAACAGCAAAGTAACGAAAGCATGAGAACAGCCTAACCAGTGGTTCTCAACCTTCCTACTATTGCTACCCTTGAATACGATTCCTCATGGTGTGGTGACCCCTAGACATAAATTATTTCTGTTGTTACCTCATAACTGTAATTTTGCTAGTTATGAATTGTAATGTCAGTATTTGATATGTAAGATACCTGATTTATGACCCCAGTGAAAAAGTTAGTTTGTCCCTGAGGGCTCACACCACACAAGTTGAGAATCTCTGGAAACTCCTGCCAAGAAGAGCCAAGCAAACTTAGAACTACAAATGGCAAGTCCACAGTCCTCTGTTTGGGGCTCCCACAGTGTGTCAAGATTATAGCAAAACTCTATTAGACAAATCAGTGTTGTATACTTGTTAAAATTATTCAAAAGTATTTCTTGCCCTGAAAAGATGTTCATAATTGACTTAAAAAAGACTATAATCTCTAAGATATAAAAGTGCATGGATACATATGCACTAAAAGAAAAAAATAGGGCTGGGGAGATGGATGGCTCAGTTAGTAGATTGCTCGCTGCACAAGCATGAGGACCTGGGTTTGATGCCCAGCTCCTACATGAAAGACTGGGCATGGGGGCACACACTTGAAACCCCAGCACTGAAGAACCTGTCTGGCCTAGTCAGTAAGCCTCAAGTCCCGCCGAGAAACATTGTCTCAAAACATAAGATGGAGGGGTAGAAGGAAGAAGCCCATGTGGACTTCTGGCCTCCACAAGCACATACACACACATGCACCACACATACATACATAAGAAACAACATGAACTCTGAAAAACAGTTTGTCTCTGTGTTGAGGAAATATGCGCAGATTGTACCTTATTTGCTCTTCTGAATTTTGTTTCCTATTCTGTAGGTAAGTACTTTTAAAATAGGAAATATTCAAATAGTTTTATACAGTTTCTAATGACAGGTAGAAAATTCTGATGATAATTACCCAGAGCTGGTGGCAAAAGCCTGTCACAGAAGCTTGAGAGTCCAAGGTATGGACCGCAGGATGAGTTCCAAGACAGTCTGAGAACTTGGTGAGACCTCATTCCAAAATTAAAAATAGGAAAAATGATAGGGGTACAATTCAGTGGCACAAAGCACTGGTACAGTGTGCATATGGCCTGAGATTCGATCCTCTGTGCAATAATAATAATATAAAATGTTAGGCTAGAAATATAGACGATAATTTCAAAATGACCTCAAAGCAGATCTATGCAAAATCCATAACGAAAGTGTGGGCTACCAAACAATGAAACATTTCCTAACTTTCACTTCATTCCTCAGCGGATTCTTTTTTAATGTGTATGGATGTTTTGCTTGCATGTATGTTTATATACCACATGTGTGCAGTGCCTGCAGAGGCCAGAAGAGAGCGCTGGATCTCCAGGGGCTGTGGATACAGACAGTTGTGACGTCACATGTGGGTGCTGGGAATCGAATCTGGGTCCTCTGGAAGAGCAGCTGGCCTTTCTTAAGCAGACTCTCCTTACAGAACCTTAAATAGTTTATAATAAATAGACATGGCTGCCACTGTAAGAAAGAAATGAAGTTCTCTCTTCAGGAAATAAGATCACTGCATTATTCCTAGGACGTGCTTTGGGTTGGGCTTTGTCTGTTGTTTTTTGAGACGAGGTCTTGCTATTGTAGCCCAGACTGTCCTTGAATTGGCATTCCTCCAGCCTCAGCTTCCCCTGTGCTGGAACTGCAGACTTGTGCCACTGGGTCCAACAGGACTAGAATGGACAGGTGGTGGTCATGGAGGAAGAAGAGCAGACGTGAAGACTGTTAGAGACACAGGGATAGAGTTTATTGACTGATTGCACTGAGGCCCACATGAGACATTCTAATACGGTCACTGAGAGACCCGGACTGGTGGTATGTGATGGGAAGACCATTAAGAACAGAGGAGTAGTTTCAGGGAATTGCATTTTAGATTAAGCTGTAGATCTTGAAAATCAGAATTATTATTATTATGAGCCCCAACCCGCCATCACCTATGAGATGCTCCTAAGAGCAACCTGACTGAGGTAGACTGCAAGGTATTCCTAGAAAACCTTCTTTACCCCCTAATTCAAAGATGGGTGTCGTGGCTACACACTAATCATCTTATGGGATGGGGGCACTGGTGCATGGCACTCGGAACTGAATGTACTGCATTAGGCTGCAGTGGAGCCTGCCATGGTTCCCATGACACCAGCCTCCACACCAGCCCAGGCTCTTTTCCATAGCTGGGAAACACCATGACTTACTCCCGGTCCCTGGACCTGTGAAAACTCAATAAGAATGAATAAAATAACTAGAAACTGCTCCCTAAACAATCTGTTTCTGTATGATGTTCTTCCTTAACTGATTTGCTATTGCTTGTCATTTCCCAAGGAAAATGTCCTGAGGCATGGGTGTCTACGAGACATGAAAAGTAAGAACGAGTTCAGAGACGCCCCCAAACATGTCACCATCTCAGACCTAACACTCACTTTCCAAGGCGAAAGGTGTTTCCAGACTACTTTGACTCCTATAAAAAGCGAGGAAGATATATCCATAGAAACAGGTGATAAAGCCTTGGAAGAAAAGATGACTGATCTTCCAAATGCAAGTCTCAAGGCTACAGAATCCAGGTCAGTGTCGTGGAGAAACGCTGTGGGCGATCAAGGGTGTACACTATGTACACACACCTATTCTTGTTTCCCGTAACTCAGGCATTTGTCTCTGAAGATTCCCTGATACAGTGTGACAGAGCGATGACACAGGCACTCCTTAGCCACCCACATTTGGGTCATCCTTGGCTAACTTTATTTCCACATCAGCCTTTTATGTTGCTCGGTTGCTATTCCGACTACTGGTCGAATGCCAAAAGCACAGGGCCCACATTTTAGAACTGTAGTGTTAACTTCTAGAAAAGGGTGGGTATTTTTTATCTCTGTGTGTATCTACATTTTCTTCCACAGAGTCTCTATACATCCTGTACCCATCTCTGGACTTCCAATAATATGAAAAACTATTTTCATTATTTTAATACTTCTACTGAAAAGCTGATTGCAAGCTGAATGTGAATGAATGTGATAGTGGTATAGAGGTACAAGTTAATACAATCATTCTAAGGTAACCCTTAACAAGAACTCAGAGCTAACCCTAATCTTAGGCTGGGTGGCCCATACCTATAGTCCCAGCCTGTCTGGCGGCTAAGGCTGGAGAGTCCCTTCAGCCCACGTGTTCTAGACCAGTCTGGAGAGCATAGTTAGACCCTACCTTAAGTAGATAACTTTAGTAAAAATAAGAATGAGGAATGCAACTCAGTCTACCTTTTAAATAAATGTATTTAAAGGAGGATTGGGAGGGAAGTTCAGTGGTGGACTACTTGCTTAGCCACACACAAGGCCCTGGGCTCGATCCTCAGCACAGGGTGGGGGAAGAAATTATATGTACTGTACTCACATACACAGGATAAGAAAAATTAACATAGGAATGAAAGCAACTAGAATTTAATAAGTAATTTGAAGTGCTAAAGAGATTCGTTGCTTTATCAAAAAGAACAAAGTAATAAACTATTGAAATAGCTAAGTTTTGAAAACCTAAGTGTCATATTGCCAGGCGGTGGTGATGCATGCTTTTAGTCCCAGCACTCGGGAGGCAGGCAGATCTCTGCGAGTTTGAGGGCAGCCTGGTCGACAGAGCAAGTTTCAGGACAGCCAGTGCCACTGGTTTCTTGAAAAACCAAAATTATTAAATGTATAAATTTTTTTAAAAACTTGGATAAGTCTTGAAAATCTGTCTCAAGAAAAACAAAACTTAGAGACAATAAATTAATGACTTTTAATAAAAATGTAAAGTAGAAAACTTAAGCAATCAGAAATTAAGAACTTGAAGAAACAAGAGTTATCAACGTTCTTGTTAAAGATAAAAGGCACTTTCTAATTTTACTGGATAGTTTTAATTATGAATTTTCTTTGGTTTATGCCATTTTGTTTACAGAACTATAAAAATATATTTTATTTCTTAAAACTTTTGTTTGCTTTTTCTAAGCCAGACAAACAACAGAATAAAGATTATTCTGAGTCATCCTACTTGTGACAGTAAAGTTCTTAGATTCCTAATGTCTTAGAATCTTGAAAGGCAAATGAAGCAAGCTTAGCATAAAACTGAGGAAACAATATTAGTCACACAAGCACAGAACAGAATGGTCATGATATTTTGTCCTCTCAGGAAAATTTATATTCTTGGTAACAGAAAACATCTATTTAATAGTGAGCTTCCCAGTATCATGATAAAGTATTTACTTCAAACCACAGCCAATAAGTTTTTGTTTTGAGTCTTACTCCATAGCCCAGGCTGGTCTCAGATTCACGATGTTGCTCATGCTGGTCTTGAACTTATGATCCTTCTATGTCAACCCTACGGTTTGGGAACACAAGCAACACCTACTAGGGTCAGCAAGACGGCTCAGCAAATAAAAGTTCTTGCTGGCTAAGCCTGGTAGTTTGAGTTAGATTACCAGAAGCAATGGCAAAAACCTGACAATGATCTCTGATCTACACACAGACACACAGTGGCACAAGTGTGCCCACACTCACATATACATCATACACTCTCTTACATGCATCATATACACACACAATAATAATAAAACTTAATTTTAAAAGTTACTTCTAGATGTGTTCTATTTAAATTTAAAACAAATTAAGAATGCTTCCATTAATATATCTGTATACTCTATTAAAAGTTCTACCTATTGTAATAAAATAAAGAAATACAAAAAAATGTAATAACATTTTGAATTGCCAGGCATGGTAGTATACACCTTTCATCCCCGCATGTGGGAAATAGACACAGGCAGATCTTGTGAGTTCGTAGTAAGCCTGGTCTATACAGGCTAGCCAGGGCTACCTAGGCAGACCTTGTCCAGTGCTCTGTCTTAGACTCTGAGGTTACCTGCGCTCATGTGTACACAGGCTCTTCCCCCTCCCTCACATACACATAATTAAAAAAATAAACAAAATAGATCCTTAAAAAAAGAAAATAAATATCTATCAATACCTACAACAACTATCAATTCCTTTAATCATCAGTTTTGTTTCAGCCATGGCCTCTTCCCACCCTGCTGTGAATAAATCCCATTGTATATTTGTCTTGGGAACTTTTCTCTCCTAGCTTGTGAGTCTTCCTCAGTCTGCCTTTCCTGGTGAGCATCTCTTGTGTCCTAGAGCAGACTGCTTCCTGACTGGCCCTTCTTCCGTGGCCATGTGGATCACTTGCAGGTTTGAACTACAAAACACTACACTCCAATAAATTACTTCCCTCTTTAGGTTTTTTCCTTGATGTGTATGTCTACAGGTATGGGATAACAATGTGTTGTGTGGATGGACAGTTGGCTGATTATCTGGTTGCTGTAAAACTCCCCCACCACATATAGGAATAGCATGAGTGAGACAGGCGTCCAATAATCAGAAGTAACTGTATGCACATGTACAGATGTAGAGGACACTTGTAGGGTCAGTTCCCTTCTTCCATCCTGTAGGCCCCAAAGACCAAACTGAAGTCATCATGGTTGGTAGCAAGTGCTATAATAAGACCGAGCCATCTTGCAGGCCCAAGGCACACTTTTAAGGCATATCTCTGTCTCCTGGAGTCAATTTACTGTTTCTGTCTTGATAATTCAATTGGAAATTTTATGAATTTCCATCAGTTACCTAGAAACATAATGCATTTTTCTTTTTCCATTGTGTTCATATGTATATAAGCATTGTGTGTGTGTGGTGTGTGTAACATGGTTTCTCTGGCAGATATTTGTAATTATTGGGCAGCTTGGAACTGTCCTCTCAGAGCTTCACAGGTTACTCTGCTGTCTGCTCAAATGCTCCCCTCCATGCTCTCCCTCTTTCGCCTTCCTCAAATCACTCCTTTGTCTCCCTCGGCAGCTCCCATCAGCTCAGATTTAATCACAGCACATCCTAGCTGGCATAATATATTTTCTTTGTTTATGATCTGCCTCCTCCACTGGAATAAAGCACTTGATTATTTTTGTTTAATGCATACAAGGTTCCTGGGAAGTATTCCTGAGCAAATGAATCACACTTTGCCACTGAAAATTACTTTTGTTACTTCAAAAACAACAACAACAAAATGAACTCTCCTGTGTAACTAGGGGAATGATATAATTTTCTTTTATTCTAACTTATTTTAGTGTTAAAAATAATTTATTACTTTTCCATCTGATTTTTGCTTGTATAGACTAGATCTCTGACTAACATTTCTTTTTGCTTTTCCATGTTTCTTCTGAACTCAGATCAATTTGAATTTATTTTATAAATGTTAAACTCTGTATTGATAATTTTGGGGGAAGGAATGCTAGGGATTGGACCAAGAGGCTCACATATAAACTAACAGGACACTTTATCACTGAGGAATACTTTCCATCTTGAAGACTTCACTTATAGGCCTCTTAGCACCTTTAATAAATACTTGAATTTTTTTTATTTTTTTAATTGCATTTGTTTGTTTAATGTGTGGATAGGGGTGTGGGTGTGTATTATATACCCAAAGGAAAAACTATCAACTCAAACTCAGGAGTACCCTTGTAGGAATTCTCCGACTAGGTGCTGGCTATACATACTTATGGACCACTTTGGTTATTGTTATTTGTAAGCAAAGACCGCACATTCATTTCTTGGCTGCCCAAACCAGAATAATCACACAGAAACTATATTAATTACAACACTATTTGTCCCACAGCTTCGGTGTCTTTCTAGCTAACTCTTATATCTTAGGTTAACCCATTTCTATTAATCTATGTATCACCACGAGGCTGTGGACTACTGGTAAGATTCCAGTGTCTTTCTCCTTTAGCAGTTACATGGCATAGCCCTGACTGCTCCTTCTTTCTCCCTGCATACAGTTTAGTTCTCCTGCCTAGCTCTATTCTACCCTGCCATAGGCCAAATCAGCTTCTTTATTAACCAATGGTAATAAAACATATTCACATCAGCTATTATCATCCACAGGAATCTTCCTACTTCTTATTAGAGGTGAGAAACAGCTAAAACAAATAAATGTCCCCCAGACCACTGATGCATTGTGTCCTACCACCCTACATAATGGGAACTGCTTATAGGGCCTCCTTGCTGGGAAGCCCTCTGCCACTAAACTATAACTCTAACCTCTTACATTTTTTTTTTATTTTTAGCACAAAGTCTCCATATGTAGCTCAGGTTGGTCCGGGACTTACTACAGAAAAGGCTACTGGTAAGCCTGATATGCTAGAGGAAAAAGGAAATAAAATAAACAATAAACAGGAGAAAGATGTAATAAAGAAAAAAGAGAGAAACCGAGACCATCGGACAGACACAGAGAAGAAGACAGGAATACAAGCTGCAGTACAGAATCAGGGCCAGTTGGTGTGGACAGAGTATCCACTCTATGTCGGTGTGTGCTTAAAAGAAAACCCAAGGATGTCTTCCTTCAATGATAAAAATGGATCCATCCAATTGAGCAGGTTTGTCCTAAATAATTGTTGGTCAGGCCCAGGCATTCTGAAGTCACCCTTCTAATTTTATTCCATTCTCACAACATAATTATTCCCGGCCACTAATATTCTACAAACCCTGTAAATTAAACACTAACTTCATGAGGCTGTGAGATTGGCAACTCCTTTCTTTTCCTTTTTCCATGAAAACTGTTGCATGCCTAGAGCGATTGATTGACAGGCTTTACTTTGTAGTGCAGCTCTCAATTTATAGACTAAAAGAGCAGCTAGAAGCACAGCCACTTCCCTGCCACACCCCAGTCTCCTCACTTACTTGACATGTTATCATCAATGTGCCAATGCTGATATGTTGTTATTAAATGGCTGTAGCTTACAGTTTATAACATAAAGGGTCGTACTTCACAGTATGAAGTTCTATGGGTTTTGATGAACGTATATAGCATTTGGTTTTTGTTATATTCACAAGAACCATTTCATTACTCTAAATATTCCCTCAGCAGTAGATTAGCTCATTTTAAAAAATAGTTTTAATTCTGGGCATGTATGTGTGTGGGTTATGTACATGTGAGTGCAGCTGCCAGGAGGCCAGCAGAAGGTACTGGATTCCTTGAAGCTGGAGTATTGTGAACTGAACTGGGGACCTCAGGAAGAGTAATATACACTGCTGAGCCAACTCTCTGGTTCCCTATATTAGTTTTTAATTGCTTTTTTTCCCCTTCAGTTCAGGAGATTGAACCTAAGGCCTTGTACACTTAATTGTTAGGCAAGTACACTTAATTGTTTTGTTCTGGTAGTTTTGTTTGTTGGTTGGTTTGGTTTGGTTTGAGTCTCACTATGTAACCCTGGTGTAGTGGTTTGAATATAATTGACCCCCATAATCTCACAGGGAGGAAACTGGCACTATTAGGAGGTGTGGACTTATTGGAAATGGGTATGGCCCTGTTAGAGGAAGCATGTCACTGTGGGGGCAAACTTTGAGGTTTCCTATGCTCAGGATACCACCCAGTGTCTCAGTTGATTTCCTGTTGTCCATAAGAAAGATGTAGCCAGCACCATGCCTGCCTGCATGCCACCATGCTCCCTGCTATGATGATAATGAATTGAATCTCTGAAATTGTAAGCAAGCCACCCCAACTAAATGCTTTTTTAAAAAATTGATATAACCATGGTATCTTTACAAAGAAATATAAACCCTAAGACACCTGGCTAGCTTGGAACTTGCTACACAGATCACGAAGGTTCTGAACTCAAGAGCAATCCACCTGTCTCTGTCTCTCTAATGCTGGATCAAGGCCTATATCACCACACCCAGCATTACTTTTGTTTTATTTTTAATGATTTTTACATTTTATTTATGTATTCATTTAGTTGGGTGGGGTGGGGAATAAATGTGCCAGGATGCATGTGTGAAGGCCAGAGTACAATTGGGAGAGTTGGTCATATCATCCTACCATGTGGGGTCTGGGGATCAAACTCAGACTTAGCAGCAGGTATCTTTGCCCTCTGAAACATCGCACCAGCCCCCTTTATTTTTTTAATAATAAGATTTACAAAAATAACAGGATGAAAAGTGCTCAGTAGGTACTAGGTTATGTTAGTTCACCATATGATTGTTAGAAATTATATGAATTCCTATATAAGCAGCAAAATAATGGAATTTTAAAATACAAGGATATTGTAATTTAGCAAATTAAATCCCTTAAGACTTTGTCTGTTAGTTTCCTATACCATTAATCTAACTACTAGGAAGAAATAAGTAAGAAAATAAAAACAAAACTAAATTGTTATCCTAACTAATTCTTTTGAGGTCTGTCCCATGGGGACATATTCTTATGGGGAATATTTTTAATACACCATTGCTGCCTGTTTGCATCGGGAACATAATTAGTAGCTAGTCCCTAATTTGAGAATGTTAATTACAAAAGAACAATGTAATATTTTAAGAACAAAATAGAAGTCACCTAACCTTTATTTCAGAGGCATTTTCAGGATTTAACCAGAAAGGTGAGGTTGATGAATACATTCTATATGTTATTTTTGTTTCCTAAGACCATTCATTTCAGGAAGACTTTATAATTTATACTTGTTTGCTTTGAAATGCAAAAATGTTAAGAAGCCAAACATGGCTTTGCTGAGTATTATGCCTCACTGGTCACTACTGTTTAAAATACAAAGGATGGAATTTATGAGATATGGGGCAAGGATGAGGAAACCAGACTTTTCTCCACTGTCTCAGGAGGCCTTGAAGAATTTACACTCCTCATACACAGAGAGAACAGTACCACTGTGGCCCTTTGCTTTGACTGGGATAATTGGCCTTATATTAATTTGCAACTGTTTTGTAATATATTCTCTTGTATTGCCCAGTCTCTTGACAGTTTTTATCCTTAACCTCAGCCTTCAATCTAAATCCTCAGACCTATTGGCACAAGCTATGTGGCTCCTTTTTGGCAAACTCCAGAGAATTACTACTTTAAGTTTAGTTCCTGAGATCCACTGTAGAACCTGAAGTGAAATGTATTTGCCTGGCCCCTTGCATGAGTCATAACTGCCTCTACAATTATGTGGGCAGGGAAATCCAAAGGTAACTTCTCAGCAGACTCTCACGCACTCCAAGATGTGGAGGCTGAGCAGTTGCAGGTGGAGATGACGGCAGACTTTATGTCATTACATACCACTTGATTTTGTGGCCTTTACAAGTTGACTAACCTGTAAACACACAATCTTACCTTGGTATAATCACTAACAGTCTAGGCTTGCTAGGCACGGTTCGTTGCTACTTCCAAAGCATTTGAAAAATGATGAGTGATCTCAGACCCAGTCATTCTTTTCTAAATATTTGTGGTCGCGATGGCAACTCCTTAAATTTGTTGTTTGTTTTTACAGGACCACAAGAACTGACTCAGACACTACAGGTAAGGAACAAATTCCAAGACACGTTTTGTTGTGCTCTTTAGTGGAGCAGTCACCCGGGCTCTTAGAACAGTAGAACAGAGGCTTCCAGCTGCACTTTCTCACGCCTTCCCATTCCAAACACTCCACCCTGGAGAGACCCTTCTAAGCCCATCTCAGACTCTCCCAGGCGCGCCAGTCACTTTGACTTCCCAGTTCCCTGAGTCTAATCAGGCACAAACCACTCCAAGGAGAGCTCTACAGTTGGAGTCCAACCCACAGCAGTAAGAGGGCCGCTTATCCTTGCAGATCTGGATGGGGAACATTTTTGGTAAATTAAAAATCACTCAGCTCCTCTGCTTTCCTTTATGTCTTAGCCTAACACTCACTGTGGAGTGACATTATTTAATGTTGGGGTACAGGGATTTCTTCTTAACACATTCCCACGTCTTAAGGAATCCTTAATTTGTAACAACATACATTTGACAAGGAGTTTGTCATGTAGGTCGATATGGAAACCTTGCCCTTTGCAGACTGCAGACTTGCCTCTAAGACACTCTCTAACCTATGAGCCAGAAGAAGCTTCAGCTACCTCACACTCATAAAAAATATTATGGAAAGAACACAGATGAATATTTAACTTGAGTTAAGTGGAGAGAAAAAATAATACAAAAAACAGAATATTTGAAGACATTTGTGGTCATTCTTAAGAGTCAGTTCTATAAAAAAATGTAAAGAAAGGAAAAGAAGAAAGGGTAGATATAACTTCCTTTAAAGATTTGTTTACTTTATGTTATGTGTATGGGTGTTTTTTCTTCATGTATATATGTGCACCATGTGTGTGTCTGATACTGGGCAAGGTCAGAAGAGGGTACCAGATGCCCTGGAACTGGAGTTACAGTTGTGATCCATCAAGCAAGTGCTGAGAACTGGATCTAGGTCTTCTGAAAGAGCAGCCAATGTTCTCAATCAGTATAGCATAGATTTTTACACAAATGGGACTTGTCTTTAGAGCTTCTCATTGGGCATCAGGATCCAAAACACCAGCTGAGCTTCACCACAACGTGGGGTCTGCATTCCACTCTACAGTGTTGAGCCTGAGAACACTAGACAGAAATGTGCTTCTATAAAGAAAATGCAAGATGAGGGCTGGAGAGATGACTCGGTGTTAAGAATGTGTATTACTCGTTTAGAGAATACCAGTTTGATTCCAGCTCCCAGGTTAGGCAGCTCACAACCGCCTGTGACTCAAGCTATAGAAGATCTGACAGCTTTGGCCTCCATGGACACCCACACATACATTGTCTATACTGTCACAGACATGCACACATATATACACATGATTAAAAATAAATCTTTTATAAAAGAAAAAGGAAGAGCCCTCTTTTAGTAGAATTTTTGCCCATCAACTTCTACTGTAAACTTTATCTTATAAAGAAGCCAAACTAAAACTCCAGAGTTACCCAGTAAAAGTAAATACTGCCCTCTTTGTTTACTAAAGGCAAAGACCCGTCTCATGGCAGCCCAACTGCTAAAAATCATGAGTAACTGTCACTCAACACAGAGATAGAACTAGTGCCATGTGTGAAGGATTCATTGGCCAGCTATGGGTGGAGCCAGTTCATGCTGAGAACTAATATGGCTGCCTTTATCTCATATGTGACTAATATTCCCACTAATATGTCTGCTGGTACAAACTCAACTGGTTTTGCAACTGCACAAGCATGTGATGCTTATGTATTCTACATGAAGGACATTGGCAGACTTGGGAGAGATTCGACAAACATAGCAGGCAAGTTACCTGCCATAACACTATGTGTTAGCCAAAAAGAAGCCACCGAATGGCAGAGAAGTGCTGAAATGGTTGCAGTGTTTTAAATCTGACTAAATCTCTGAGAAACTAGAGGATGCCGGGCGGGCACAGAAAGACCAGGCAGGAAGATCTTCTGTCAGTCAAGGTGGAGGGTGCCAAATGGTCTTGGATAAACAAGAAGCAGTCAGAATTGAAACAAGGACAGAAAGAACTACTCACATGTTTTATACAGATATAGTTATACATATATAGTTAATATGTACTAACAATGATGGTGGGGTGGCGATGATGACAATGGTGATGATGGTTGGCGGGGAATGCAGAGAGGCCAGGCACTAAAGTGCTGAAGCCTGAGACTATGTTTCAATCCCCAGTACCCACATACAAAGCTGGGCATAGCAGTGCATGCTGCTCATCCCAGCACTATGCAGACTGGAGGATCTGGGGGGTGGGGGGGACACTGATCAGCTTAGCTGAATCTGCGAGTCCCAGGTCTTGAGAAACCATGTCTTGAAATTCAAGATGGAAAGGTCCTGAGAAGACACCTGAGGTTGTCCTATGGCCTCCACATGTATGCAGGTGCGCACACACGTACAGTACACGTACACCTACCACACACGTGTGTGCTCACACAGACAATTATTCTCAGTCTACAAGTAGGAACAAGAGAGACAAAGAGCAAGAATGACAATTTGGGAGACAGCATGATTAGGACATATAAATCCATGAAATGATCTGGGAACCAGAGAATATGGAGAGAAACACTGAAGAAAGGCAGCTGAACACTGATGTTGAGTGGAAGCCCCAGGCTTTAGTTCTGATGGTACTTCCTCCGATACATAAATATGACATTTATCTTGTCTCTTTGTGCATGGCTGAGTCGTTGGGCAATTATTCTGAAAACTGGTAATGACGTGCTGCTGACGGACCATTTCTGTAAGTCTAGCAGGCAGCTTGGACTGGATGTCTTGGACACCAGGAACAGATACCACAAAGGAGTAGCAAAGGTCCACTTGGCTTGCTGAATCACAAGCACGGCACAATCTACAATGTGCATTAACTATTTTCCTGTTTGTTTTCTCTCACATGCTTTCCCGTTCCTTCCTTCGTTCCTCTCCCGTGTCTCCCCATTTTTCTGTAGGCCTGTACAGTTTTTCAGTTTTCCCCCTGATTAGCATTTCCTTTCCCCTTTTCACCCTCCTCTAACCCGTGGTTCCCCTTCTACACTCTTACCATTCACTGATACTCTTTATTCAAGAAAGCAAAGCCTACCCCCTAAACCATCCTAACCTCCATTCTATTAAATTCAGGCTGGACAAAGACTGAAAATGTGTCTGTAATTTTAGTTTCTAGGTAACGCCAGAATAATAAAGCTTCCCAAAGTAGGAAAATAAACTCCCGGTGTGAAACTTGTCTGACTCTCAGGTTCCCAGCCCCAGGCAGTCCTAGTGGAGGACAGAGACACCCAAATCATCCCCACACACCTCTGCAGTGAGGGTGTTACTCTCTCTTCTTTCTAAACTCTGTTCTATGCAAAGTGGCACTTCAAATGCACGGTCTTGATAAGCAAGGCTGGGGAATGCAGGGCAGATCCCAAGCTAGACCTGTCGCTCTGGACCCTAGTCTGTCTCTCTCCTTTCTTGACTTTTCCTTTCTTACCTTTCAAGGCTCCACTCTTCTCAACTTTTTTGGATTTCTTTGTAGTGAGCCCAGATACATGGTAGGCTTCTCTACGATGCCACAAACATCATAGAGAAACGAGACCAAAGACAAAGGTTCAAGAAATGAGATGCAAACCATATATGAAGTACTCACGTTTCCTTCCCACCCTACCTACTTCTTTTTCATCTTCCTGATCAATATTACAAACCAAGTTCTAAGTGGTCATGCTCATTTCCTGCTTGTGAAACCTGAGCTGAAAGGAAAGGGGAGGGAATGCCCCTGAAGGGACCAGGTTTGTGAACCAACAGTGAGCTCTCCTGGACAGAATGAGGACACTTGGCGAGGTAGTGAGAACACCGTTGGAACTGGAGACCCAAATTAAGTTTTCTCCTTTTCTCTCTCATCTTCGGCCTTCCTTCTTTCCCACTTTCCTCTAATGATATCTCTTCCACTTTCTCTGACTCTTGCTCCTCTTCCTTCCCGGCTCTTTCTCCTCATATCAAATCCTCTTCTAATTTCCTCAACCTTGTACCTCATCTGTCTCCCCCTTTCTCAGGGGAAATGCACGTAAGCCGAGTAACACAGAAAAAGTTACAATCAATGGGAAAGCCTGATGAATGACCAACCTAAAGGTGAGTTTTCAATATGACAAGACTCCGTAGATTTAAATGGTAGACATTTTAATAAGTTGACTCTTGACATGAATCTCATTATTTCTATTGAAGTAACGAAAGAGGTGAAGTTGCCAATAAAGAGGTAGAGTAGAATGTGAAGGAGGTTTGCTGTGGCTTCTTCTCTAGACTCTAGGCTAGGTGGCAACACCAGCAGGAGGCAGAACAGAGAGAGCTATATACCGCTGCTTCTCCATGGGAATTATTTCTCTCCTGATGCTATACCAGTCCCAGGGACTGAACTCGGGTCATCAAGCTTGCTAGCAGGCACCTTTACCTGAGCCATCTTGTCTGCGCATAGATCTTAAACTGTTTGGTATGTTATGATGAAAAACTTTATTATAAATGGTTTTATTATTTTTACTTTTAGAATTATTTCTATTTTTAGTGGCATATGTTATATGTGTATGAGTGTTGCACCTGCATACATGTGCACTACATACATGCCTTTGGAAGTTGGATGAAAGCATCAAACTCCCTGGAACTGGAGTATTGTATAGTAGATAGTATTACATAATGTATAGTATAGTTATAAGCCACCATATGGGTGCCAGGAACTGAACCCAGGTCCTGTGTGAGAGCAGCAAGTGCTCTTAACAACTAAGCTATCTTTCCAGTTCTAATTTTATCTTTTAATCACTCCTTTGTATTAATTTTTAGCCTTTCATTTAAGAGTAAAACCATTAGGATTGTATATTAAGTATATATTTTACATTTCAGACCTTTGAAATAAACTGACTTTTGTGGTTTTTGTCAGATCAGTACTAAACTAAAAACAAAACCCAACTCAGAAAAAAAAATGCAGTCCCTTCAAGAGGAAAACAGCAATATCTTTTGTGTGGCAGGAATACAGGCTACTACTGATCATTCAGATGCAAATCCATGCCAATCTAATTCTAAAATCCTATTTTAGATGTGGATTTTTTCTTTTTGTAGATATGTATCTTTAAAAAAACTGAAGAGCTATGAATATTATAAGGATTTCCATTTATAAGCTCGGTTTATACATCATCTTTGATTTGAGTTTGTTGGGAAAAGCTGTTCTTCTCTGGTTTGACTTTCATCACTGCTACAGCCCCACTCTGTTTCCTGCATTGGGTGTTTTGGGGTCACTGATGAAGCCTGTGCTCTTCACACATCTGTGATCTAACTGAATACTTTGTGCTAAGTAGTATTTATTGAGTCCATAATTTGTCAGTGCATGCTATTAAGTGACAATTTACTGAGTGTCATTTCCAACCAGATTTTTAAGAAAATCCATTTAAAGGAAACCATAAGGCCCCGTGGGCATAGAGCACTTGCCCATGCTGGTGAGTGCAAGGCCCTGACTTTAGTGTCCACTGCCCCAAAGCCAAAGAGGAAAAGCCAGAAACTACAGACAGTCCCTCTCTGAAGAATGGTAGTATTCTTTAAAGTTTCCAGTTAAGGGATGGGCAGATGGCTCTGCAGTTCAGAGCACTTAATGGTCTTGCAGAGGACTTGAGTTCAGTTCCCCGTACCCACAACACACAGTCACCTGTAACTTCAGTTCCAGGGGATCTGACATCCTTCTGGACTCCATGGGCACCAGACATGCATGCATGTATGCACATATACATATACATACATGCAGGCAAAACACTCATATACATTTAAAATGCAGTTGCCACTTAATTACATCCTAAAGCCTGCTGGTTGCTCCACAGCAGGCTTCTCATGCACTATCTCAGCCAGTCTGCACAGGAATCCAGAGAGGACTGCTGTTTCCCGTGGTTACAGATGGTGAAGCGAAGCCTGGAAGATATTTGTTCGAGGTATACATAGAAAATGGTGGAAATAGCATTTGAACATGAGGAGCCCTATATTCAAGCTAAAATAAACCTGTAATTCACAAACTCATGTATATTTCCATTTAACAGTACTCCTTTAGGAAAAAGTCCTTTGCCCGTTCTCTTGGCTCACCACCCAGGTGATTTGTCTTCCTTTACCTGTTGGTCCACAGATGGAAAGAATTTCTTTTCCATGTCCACAGGAGGAAGAGGATTTCCGTGAAATCAAGAAAACAGACAGCTACCGAGGATGCGTTAAAATCTGAAGTACACATAAACACTTTGTAATTTGGAAGTGACTTCCCCTTATAAACAATTTCTTTGCTATATATTGTCTGTGACAAGTTAGGGAAGACAGTCTTAACTGGGACTGGTCCAGAGTCCTTCAAAAGACTGGTGAGCAGGCACCTTAGCAAAGAGCTCAGAAGATTCTTACAAAGCTAAGACATTCTTCTCAGATGACCAAAGAGAAATGAAAAGCATGCTCATAACAAGACATCAGTTCAAAACAAGGCTTATACACAAATGATCACACTGGTTTATTCATAATAGAAAAAACTGGGAAACAATCCAATTGCCTATCAACAGACGAGTAGCTAAACACACTGTGGTATGTCCATACAGCAATACCACTTGGCAACCCAAAGAAACAAACTAGTAATAAATACTTCAACACAGCAATCATAGAAACATGTTGAATAAAAGAAGCCAGGTAGTAAAAGAATACACAGTGTGATTTAAAAGAAGATTTGGAAAACAACTCATGAGAATAGGTCAGTGGCTATCTGGGGCATGGTTGGCTAGGAGGGCAATGACTGAAAAGTGATACAGGGAACTTTTGGAAGACACGGAAATATCCTATCTTTTGACTGGGATTTTATATATATATGTGTGTGTGTGTGTGTGTGTGTGTGTGTGTGTGTGTACAATATTATATATATGTGGGGGGGTCATCAGTGTATATATTTCCCAATAAAATATTTCAAAGGGAGCAAGTTTTATTTCATGTAAGTTATGTCTTGACAGTTAGTTTTTAAAGTCAATATATAATTATACACTAAAACAATGAAATTCTATAGTTTGGATCTTGAATGGCCCCCAAAGGCCCATGTACTGAAGACTAGGCTTCTGGCGCTATTAGGAGGTAGCTGACTTTCAGATAGTGGGGCTTAGTGGAAGAAAATTAATTAGATCATTGCAAGTTGTGGAGGTTTGAATGGGAATGGGCTCCACAGGCTCATATATATTTGAATCCTTGGTCTCCAGTGGTGGAACTGTTTGGGAAGGATTAGATGTGGCCCACTGGAGGAAGTGTATCACTGGAGGCCGACTTGAAGGTGTCAAAAGACCAAGTCATTCCCAGTTTGTTCTCTCTCTGTCTCTGCCTCCTGCTTGTATCGGATCAAACAAACTCTCAGCTACAGTTTCGGTATCATGCCTGGCTGCCTGCTGCCGTGCTCCCTGCCATGATGATCATGCACTTTAACCCATGGAACCAAAAGCCCAATTAAATACTCTCTTCACCAAGTAGCCTTTACCATGATGTTTGTCACAGCAATAGAAAAGTAACTAAGATAGGGTGTGCCCTTTGAGAGACTATTGTGACTCTATTCCCTTCCTCCTTTGTTCTTTGTTTCCTAGTCAGCAGGAAATGAGCATTTGCTTCATGTTTCCTCATCACAATTTCTGTCACAGGCCTCACGCAACCACAGACTGAAACTATGAGCCAAAGTTTAGGTTTGCATTTATTTTGTTATAGTGAAGGAAAGTGCACGCACGTACACGTGGGCATATATAATCAGTGGTAGAGTCTAGCATGCCTGAGGCCCTAAGACCACTCCCCAGCACCACTAAATAGAAAGCTAGCATAGTTTTATTAGGCTTAAAAGGTAAACGCTCACCTACACCCAAACCTACTTGCTCTTAATAATGTCTCCCACTGTACTGTCAGTGTCTGTGACACAGAAAAAGTGCGTGCTTATCTGCTCACTTCTGGAATGCTGCCAGCATGGCAGGGAGGAAGGGGTCAATTCCCAGCCTGAGGTTTCAACTTGGAACACATGTCCCAACAGCCTGCTAGTGAAGAGCTACAGAAGCTAGGCACTATAGCACTATATGATAACCAAATGAGTTTTTACCGCTTTTCCTTTAGTTTTGAATTAGCATAAGAATTTTTAACAGAGGGGATAGGGAGATGGCTCAACAGTTAAGAGCAGTTACTGAAAACGCTAGATCAGTTCTCAGCATCTACAGGGTGGTTCAAAACTATCTATAATCGAGAGTCAGAGGGATCCAGTATCTGCTTATGGTTTCTGCAGGCATCAGGCACACATGGGGTACACAGACATACATGTAGGAAAAACTTTCATATACATATTATCAATATATATTTATATTTTGGCAGAGCTTATGTGGGAGTTTTATTGAGATAAAGGGAGTGGGGGAGGGAAGAGAGAGAGAGAGAGAGACAGAGACAGAGACAGAGAGAATGAGGAAGAAGAGGCAAGGACCAGCCTGCCTCTTCAGAAGAGCAGTGGGAAAGAGTTCAAAATCTTTTCTGAAACCTCATCACAGGTGTGCATGGTGGTGAAGCCCTAGCAATCGGATCACTTGAGTCTAGGAATGTATTAGTACGGCATAGAAAGATTCTGTCTCAAAAAAAAAGATTTATTTGGGGACACTTATTCCTTTAAACATATCAACACATCAGAAATGTAGAACTTAGTAAACAGTCTCTACTGCTAAAAAACAAAACCAAACAATTTCTGAAGGGAAAATGGGAGCCAAAGGTACATACTGAAGCTATCTAGAGACTAAATCTGAAGATAGAGACAACTGAATTTTGAATTTGGAGGTTTAAATGCTTAATTGGACTTAGGATACTTTTTGAGAAAGTGCCATATCAAAAATGCTTAGCAATGGGTGTGATCCTGTCATGGGAGTGTGCCATTTCCTACATTACTCATAAGAAAGGAATGGTAAAGATTTTCTGCAAGACTCATAGTTGACAGCTGGGTGGAGGTGGCAGATGATGTAAGTTATTTACAAGAATGTGGACAAAAGAAAAGATTGTGATAATGGTCTATATTATTTGATTTTATCTATATAATCCCAGTGGCTACTTGCTCAGAAGGGAGTAAAATATAAAATAATATTCCTCAGGACTGGGTGTACAGCTTAGTGGTAAATTTTGTCTAGCAAATACAAAATACAAAAATAAATCAAACCAAATGACCAACCAATCACAACCTCCAAATATGGTCACAAATACTTGGTATTTCCTTAAGGGCAGAGACTACTCCTTTCTCTTGACTATAGGAGAGATTTAGTGACGAGCTCCAGAGACTAAATCACAAAAAGGTCCATGGTTTCTGTTCTGGTTATTCTCCTGAATCCTTGGTTCTGGGGTGAGAAAGCTGTTGCCACCCAAAGAGAAAGCCAGATGATCAGGAAATGGTGCCTGCAGTAAACAGCTATCAGAATAAG